GGAAACCCCTGATTAAATTGCAATTTAGTCACCAGCTTAACCAGTTTAGGACACTGGCACCTTAACCAGTAGGTTGGGTCAAGCTATAGTAAGAGTTCTGATATTGACCCAGCCATCACAGAGAATGATGAAAAGCCTAATTTGGTGAGGATAGTTTAAACACAAATATGGTTTGTACATGAAAAAGGAATTAGCTTAAGTGACCTAAATAGCAAAAAAAGTGTGTGTGTATATCTCCACAGCCCTGGCAGAGTCAAGATATTATATTGGGGGGAGAATGGAGGGAGTATATTTGGTGCAAAATATAATTCTTTAGAAATTAGTAATTTACAATAAGTTTTAAACTACATATTGTTTGAGCAAGCTCCCCCTCCGGCATGTTGTGATTTGTTAATGGAGATGCACGAGGGTCTAAGGATCCTGGAGAATTTAAGGATTGCTTTGGAAAAGAGACATTAATTAAAGATAGTCCATTCATTCCCTATTAGTGATGTCCTGAACGGTTCGCCGCGGACTCCAGTCAGCAGACACATTCCAGCCAATCAGCAGCAGACCCTCCCTCCCACCTCCTGGACAGCTCACTAAGAATGCAGTTTCAAAATGGATGCTGTCCAGGAGGTGGGAGGGTCTGCTGCTGATTGGCTGGAATGTGTCTGCTGACTGGAGTCCACGGCGACTATCTTTAGTTCTCATACCGCAGGTTGCAGAATTTGTTATTTCTATATATCAACTGGCAGATCGTGTTTGCAACCACATAATACACAGACTCACATCACATTGAATTGGTTCCTGTAATTCACAGTGCCATACTGCCATACTGTAAATTTAAGTTATTTTTAAATGTATTAGCAGTAATGTCTCTAGCAAGTGAGTTTTGAGACTAGAGCAATAGTCGCCAAATTGTGTAGCCCCAGTGAGTTACTCCTCTCACCTGGTCTGTGTTTTCGCTGCATGATTGCCAAGAAAGATGCAGTGATTTGGGACAGCTGTCCAATTCCTAAAGAAAGTATTTGTGGGAGCATGTCCGTTTGAGTGTGAGAGGTTTTCCATGCTATTACATTAACCCCTTAGTGACCAGACCATTTTTTTATTTTCTTAGCGTTCAGGACCAGAGCTGTTCTTACATTTCTGCTGTGTTTGTGTTTAGCTGTAATTTTCCTCTTACTCATTTACTGTACCCACACATTATATTTACAGTTTTTCTCGCCATTAAATGGTCTTTCAATAGATATTATATTCATCATATAACGATAAATATAAAAATAAAAAACCTTTTCTAACTTTGAAAAGCAGAAACTTTTACGCATCTACCACCACCAAAAAAACACCTGTGCTAAATAGTTTCTAAGTTTTGTCTAGAAATACCCAATGTTAACTTTTTTTGCTGTAAGTATAAGTAGGACAGTGCGGTTTCAAAATATATATTTTTAAAATGTATCAATAGTGACATTGTAACACCATTATCTGTCATAAATCTCTGAATCACACCTCACATGCACATATTTTTTTTCAAAGTAGACATCCCCGGGTATTCAACTTAGTCACAAACACTGAGCAAAGTAATCATTTATATTTGTTTTTGTGTTAAAAATGCAAAAAAAAAAAAAAGCTACCTTTGGCCAGTGTTTGCGACTAAGTGGCTACTTAAAAAGACTAAACATACCCCCATATTGAATACCCTGGGTTGTCTACTTTGAAAAAAAAATATGTACATGTGAGGTGTGATTCAGAGATTTATGACAGATAACAATGCAATACCTTGGATTATCTTCTTTTGCAAATGGTATGCCATCATGGGGGTAATTCTCATTCCTGGGCTACCATACGCTCTCAAAGGCAACATAATGAATCTGGCAAATTTCAATGTGAAAAACTGAAAATCAAGCCTTCTATTTGACCCTATAACTTTCAAAAACACTATAAAACTTGTACACATGTTATACTCGGGGGACTTCGCTGAACACATATTGGTGTTTCAAAACCGTAACACTACAATGATATCATCAGTGAAAGTGCAGTTTGTGTGTGAAAAATGCAAACAATTTCACTTTTTACTGACAATATCATTGTTGTGATATGTTCTACTGTTTTGAAACACTAACATTTGGGTTCAGCAAAGTCTCTCGAGTAAAACAGCACCCGCCACGTACAGGTGTCATGGAAAGTTACAGGGTTCAATACTGTGCTAGCAAATTAAATTATCTGGACTTTCAGCCTGGGTTGTCAGGCAGGTCCCTCATATTGCAATAAAAAAAAAAAAAAAATTTACATAAATATGCACGTAGAATTTAATAAAATATATATATATATATATATACACACACATATCTCAAACGATAAACTGGAGCACTCAAAAGGACTTCTCTATAGTGTATTTATTGTGGAAAAAAGTTTACAACAAAGTGTAAAACATCTTAATCGACGTTTCGACCCCTCGGGGTCTTTTTCAAGATCTTGAAAAAGACCCCGAGGGGTCGAAACGTCGATTAAGATGTTTTACACTTTGTTGTAAACTTTTTTCCACAATAAATACACTATAGAGAAGTCCTTTTGAGTGCTCCAGTTTATCGTTTGATGCATATTTGGGATGTTTGATGCACCAAAGGCAAGCTTTACTGGAATTTTTCAGGGGTGAGTGCCTAAATTATAATTTTTGTGTATATATATATATATATATATATATATATATATATAAAAATTTAATTCTAAGTGTATTTTGAAAAAAATAAATAAAAAATTATATATATATATATATATATATATATATATATATATAATCAAAATACAGTTAGAATAAAATTATAAAATATTAATAACTATATATAATTTTATTCTAACTGTATTTTGATTTTATATATATATATATATATATATATATATATAAAATTTAATAAAATATTTATTATAAACACACACACGTGTAATTTAATTATAAGTGTGTATTTATATTAATACATAGTTACATAGCTAAAAAGAGACTTGCGTCCATCAAGTTCAGCCTTCCTCACATTTGTTTTTGCTGTTGATCCAAAAGAAGGCAAACAACCCAGTCTGAAGCACTTCCAATTTTGCAACAAAGTAGGAAAAAATTCCTTCTTGACCCCAAAATAGCAGTCAGATATCTCCTTGGATCAAGCAGCTATTACCCCACTAATTAGAAATTATATCCCCGTATGTTGTTTTTGGAACTATTTATCCAGTTGCAGTTTAAACATCTGTATGGCCTCTGATAAAACCACCGCTTCAGGCAGAGAATACCATATGCTTATACTACTTAGTGTAAAAAAAAAAAAAAAAAAAAAGTCTTTGGCTTAAAATTAAATCTCCTTTCTTCCAGCCTAAATGCATGACCTTGTGTCCTATGTATAGCCCTGTTTATGAATAGATTTCCAGATAATGGTTTGTACTGGCCCCGAATATATTTGTATAATATCATATCCCCTCTGAGGCGGCGATTTTCCAAACTAATGAGATTTACATTTTTTAACCTTTCTTTGTAACTAAAATGCTCCATTCCTTATACATGTATAAATTATATTAAAAAAAAAAAAACCATATATATATATATATATATATATATATATATATATATATATATATATATATATATATATATATATACACACACACATATATATATATATATATATATATATATATATATATATATATATATATATATATATACACACACACATACATATACACACATACACACACACATTTACATACATAAGATATATTATATCTATATACAATATGTAAGTAGCCATCACACATATATACACACACACACACACACACTTTTAAAATAATTTTTATTTGCAAACATATTTTCTTTTATTTTTCAGAAGCAGGGAGACTGCCTGTCAGTTTATACAGTCCCCCTGCAGGCAGATGAATGGACGTCTATTGCGGCGATGTGATCGCTCTTTCAATGCAATCACGTGGCCCACGGGGACCTAATTTGCCCATACCGGGAGCAACACTGATTGCCGGCGATCATGTAAGTAATAAGGACGGCTCGTTTTACGTTATGACTGTTCAGGACCGTCATCAGTCCTCAAGGAGTGGTTTCTGATGAAGTCCTGAACCGTCATCGGTCCTCAAGGGGGTCTTCACTGAGTGCCTCGACCACTCGAGGCATTCAGCACACAGATAGAGCATCGGAAGCCTGCCCGATGGCTTCCAATGCTCTGCTTACCTGGAAGTGATCGCTCCTGGGGAGCGACCACTTGATGGCCCAGCAGTCAGGAGAGGTATTGCAGGATGCCTTGACATCGAGGCAAGGCCCTTAGAGTGCTTACTATGTGCGTCCGCGGTCCTTAAGGGGTTAAACAAATCATTAATATATATTTTTTTTAAAGTTGTCATAGAATACACGGTGGTTATTTGATGTGTTTGATGCCCACATGGTCTTATCTTCCAAAGGAACTTGTGTATTAAAGCACAAATTACTCAAATACTGTACCTATAGAACTCCTCTCTCTCACGCTCATCAAGTTCGGTAATAATATAGGACAATGTACGTTCGATTCTGGGTATAATCACTAGAAGGAAACGGAAAAAAAAAATTAACAACTATAAAAATGGTTTCAATGACATACGGCGTAAGATAAGTATGTTCATACAATACACATTTTTCATTGCAGAATATTTTTACCTTCTTTCAACTGTTTCTTTTTATTTGTAGCACAGGTTTAAACCAAACACTGTTTTCCAGATATCAGTCCAAGAAATATGGCACTCAAGAGTTGACCTGTCAACTGGTAAAGGAATACTCCAAACACCATAACCACTTTAGTGTACTGTAGTGGTTATGGTGCAATCTCATTATAAGTAGCCAAACTGTGATAAAATGGTTTGTCTTCTTACCTGGAGTTTCCACTACAGCTACAGGAGACACAGAATTTCCTGCTGAGAGTGTCAGCTGCTTGCTTTCATTGACTTAGGTAAGTCTTAAACAACCAGTGCAGACAGAGAGCTTCTGGCTTTACTATGATCCAGGTAAGGGTTAAACGTTTCAATAATTACTTGATGTTTACTGAGGAATGGACCAAGGGGACTCTGGAACCTTAACAACTAAAGCTCACTGCAGTGGTTATGGTTACTAGACCGTTTAAAACTTTTTAAGAGGTAGGATTTCTAAACCATTCTTTAATACAACACTAATGAATGTAAAGCGGATGCTTAAAAATTTTAAATGGCCGACATTCAGAAAACTTTAAATTTTACTTACCGTAAATTCCTATTTCCTTAATATGGTGGCAGTACATTAGGGATGTGCTCTTCCCTGGGACAAGCATAAACATAAAAAGATCCCCCCCCATTAGGTATAAAGTACCTAATCCCTTCCAAGATACAACATTTTGTAACAATAAAACAATACAGACCTCTTACTGCAAAAACTATTTATGAAAATAAGGGTGGGGAAACTTGTAATGCCACCATATTAAGGAAAAAGGAATTTAAAATTAAAGTTTTTCCTAACATATGGTGGCAGTACAATAGGGATATATCGTGATCCCAAAAAACACCATGGACCAGGAATTAGGCAACCACTGCGAAAACACCTTACGCCCGAAAGCTGCTTCAGAGGCAGAGAATATGTCTAGCCTATAATGCTTCACAAAGGTGTTTAAGGAAGATCACATAGCAGCTCTGCATATATCCTCTGGATATGCTTGAGCCTTTTCTGCCCATGAGGTAGCCATAGCTCTAGTTGAGTGCGCTTTTAAAGATGAAGGCAATTTTGAGAAAGTGTAGGCCAATTTTATGGTATCCACTAACCAGACTAGCCTTGGAAGCTGTAAGACCTTTGAATTAAAAAAAAAAGAAAAGAAAAAAGGATGGTCTGATCTTCTGAAGCCAGAAAAACGATCAATATAAATTCTAATGGCTCTTCTAACATCTAGCATATGCCAAGTTTGCCCCCGTTCATAGGCGGACGGATTACCAAAGGAAAGCAGTACAATTGGATGATTGATAGCCCTAGAGTGATAACTTTTGGAAGAAAGGATGGTTTTGGATGTAGGACAACTTTGTCTGGAAAGAAAATAGTGAATTCTGGAGAAGATGAAAGAACCTGAATTTCACAGATTCTTTTAGCAAATGTTATTGCTACTAAAAATGCTGTTTTAAGAGACAAAAGCTTCAGGGAAATTTCATCCAAAAGGTTCTTCACAAAGGGCCTTAAGAACAACTGACAAATCCCATGAAGGAAACAAAATCCTCTTTGGAGGTCTGATGATCTTTACAGCTTTTTAGAATCTCTGAATCAAAATGTCTGAAGCCAAATACCAGGAAGTGGACAAGAGCAGAAAGGTGAACCTTGAGAGTAGATAACCCTAATCTCGCATTAAGACCATCCAGCAGAAAATTCAAAATCGTATCTGTAGAAGGAGAACTACTTAGGTAATGATGGTCCTTGCACCAGTGAAGAAATTTAGTCCAGAAGTAAAAACTGGCATCTTTCATCCTTAATACCATTGTGATGTAAAACCAGCCTTGCAGCAGCCAACCTGTCAATCTGAACATTTTCAGGAGAATCCCTGTGTTCTCCAGGAGATTTGTTGATAGTGGAAGTTCTAAAGACCTCAAAGCCATTGTCCTCATGGCTGAGAACCAACGTCAGTTAGGTGGATGAAAATTGGATGATTCCACGCTTTCTTCTACTGACCATATGGCTTGTCTCATAGTACTGAAGATGAGCTCCCCATCCTAGATGTGATGCATCGGTGGTGATGATGATGATCCAATCCTTTGGTTGAAATGACAGACCTGTGTAAAGGATTTGAGTTTCTGTCCACCAGTATAGTTAATCTTTTGTAGGCCCTGAAATCTCCATTATGGAATCCAAATCTTCTTTTTTGTACCATTGTGTCATTTCCCACTGTATTGGTCTTGATTCCGCTCTGGCCCATTTTACGACTAGAATGGTAGAAGTGAGATGTCCTAGAATTCTCATGGCTCATCTTATAGTGCAGCGTGTTGCTCTTAGAAGATTTCTGATCTTCTCTTCCTTCATAAGATGTAGGTGGATCAAGAGGTCTTTTGACTTAATAATAAAAAAACCTAGGAATTGGATGAAGTTGTGACTTCTCTAGGTTGATGACCCAAACCAGCTCCTTCAGGATACTGAAATTGAAATTCACATATTCTACCAGAGGGTTTCTTGATCTTGCCTTGACAAACCAGTCATAAGTAGGGAATTATTGTGATACCTTCTTCCCTTGGAAACCGGCAGCTTGGTAACCCCGTCTGCAAGAGGTTTGAGCCCTCTTATCCATTGGGTCTTTTAAACCAGACACTTCCCCAATTGAAATCATTGTCTTTTTAGACAGTTGTGCTATTTGCATATCTACAACAGGCAATTCTTCCCATTTGTTTTCTCCTTGTAACTTGAACATTTGTTTGAAATGTCTGGAGATAAACAACCTCTTTTCTGGATTTTTCCATTCCCTATTTATGAATTCCAGAATATGTTGCGGCATTGGCATAGCCTTTTAATTGCCTTCCTCTGGCATATACTCCAGTAAAGCGATATTAGCCCCTTAAGGACACATGATGGAAATATTCCGTCATGATTCCCTTTTATTCCCTTAAGTGGTTAACTTCTTCGATAAACCTTTTTAATTCCTTGTGTGGAAACCCAAATTCCATCAATGAGAAATCACTAGAAGTGTCTGAAAATTCAGACGTGGAACATTCACCAGAAGACAACTCAGATCTAGAAGATGATCTTTTCCGTTTATGTCTTTCTTTTAGAAGTTTGCACTGGACTTGCTTTTGAATGATTCAAAAGTCTGAGTTAGGTTATCCTGGAACCAAGATAATAAAAAAAAAAAAACAAACAAAAAAACATCTTTCCAGCGTTAAGGACGAACATTGATTGCAGGTTATTTTCTTCATGCCATCTGGTAGAGCCGTAGAACATTCACTACATACCAAGTGCTTAGTTTTATGGGAAGGGGGGGGTAGGGGGGGTAAGACTTGCACAGCTTTTCAGAATAAATATTTTTTTAAATTTAGAGCCAAAATAGGAAGTTCCGATCGCGCATGCGCAGTCTGAACTTCAGTGGAATGCACAACCTCCCCGGTTGTGTGTTCCTCCGCTGTGAGCCCGTGTCCTATTCATGCAGTGATTGGCTGCCTCTAGGGACTGCCAATAGCTGAACTCGGCATAAAACAAGCAGCTCCTACCTGCTCTGTACTCCTGCAGATTGGAGTGTGGCCATTCAGCTCTCCACCCGGGAGGCTTTCAGACCAGTTGGTCCGTTCCTATTGGAACAAAAAAAAGAACTGTGGGATCTTTGAAGGTTAGTACTTTATACCTAAGGGGGGAGGATCTTTTCATGTTAATTTCTTTCAGATGCTTGTCCCAGGGAAGAGCACATTCCTATTGCACTGCCACCATATGTTTGGGAAAGTCCATTATTAGAAGTGTTTTGTGGGCTTGGGTATTGCAGAGGGAAGGAATCCCCAATCTATTCAGTAAATTAGACTGGAGACTACTAAGTAAAATATAAATTTGGGGCTACTCATCATGTGGGACTGTAACTTACATGAGACCCGGCTATATAACACAGGCTCAAGGCCTTTTGAGCGAGAGTGGTGCAATATCCAATGTATGCTGTGCACTTACATTGTGGTGGAGGTTCTCAAGAGGTCCCCGCTGTTTGTTGATAATTCTACCTTCACTCTTCTAGTTTTGAAATATCAGCAATTTATTGTACCACTTTAATGCAAGGATGACAAATTGTTCTTGCCAACTAGGATGCTTGCCCCATTACTGTACTATACAATATATAGTTGTATAGTTTTTGTTTATTTAACATACCTGATTTTATTTTATATGGGTAGTTATAATATATACCTACTGCTAACAGATGTCTTTATGACACTAGCAGTCCCTATTCCTAAAAGTGCATCGCTTAGTACAAATATCCTGCTCTCACTTTAAATGAACCCGTCCATTGGCACTTAACTTTTGACATATTATTTGTTCATTTGTTATTGGTGTAATCTGACATACTAGCTTTGTTAATTCACTATCTGCTCAGATTATATATACAAATAAATAAAAAGGAATATTTTTGTGACAAGGCAGAACTTATGTACCTGCCACAACTACTATTGTAATGGATTTCTGCTATGCTAAACATGTGCCTCAGTAAAAACATTAAATGGAAAAAAAAAAAAGTGGGAAAGAGGAAAGGCAAAGTCTTCACTTACCATGTTCTATGGCATTAACACGCCTGTTCGTGATTTTTATGGCTTCATCTAAGGTGACAAATGAAGTCTATAGGAGGAGATATAACAGGAAACCGTTATAAACACACAGTAACTTATTCACTAAAGTATTAATGTAATCTAAAGACATCACCACCAAATGTATTTAAATGTATATATGACCAGCACACGCACAAAAAGTATGTGTTTATAACTGAAGTACACATTCTCTTTCACAAAGTGGAAAAGAATCACACAACGATTTAGGATACTGGATTCAGCATTAAAAAAAAAAAATTTAAAAAAAAAATGTTGGGATGTTGTTCTAATACATTTTGTGAATTTTTTTTTTTTTAAAAACGATCATTCCCCTTTCGTCTCTCATCTCAGGAGTACTCTAGGAAAAAAAACCAAAAAAAAAACCATTTATGGTTATATTTGTTTTAGAACACAAGTGTATAAAGGTTATGCAGTAAGTTAGAACTCCGGCATACCAACATAAAATGTATAATTTGTATGGACTCACATTTGTATGGTTATTGATGTCAGCTAAAATTTATTCAAAATGAATTTCAAATGTATCACATTTTGTACCTGTAAAGAGGCCAATTCTACAAGTAACTCTACAGCCTTTGCATAATTCCTCTTCAGTTTGGCCAGCTGCTCACCGCCTCTAGCAAGACCAGTCAACTCATAACCTGAACGAAGTAATCAGACCAAAACATGAATAAAGCAAAACAAAAAACAAACCAACAGTATATACTTGCCTACATTATAACAAAAGAGTGAATACTGGATAAACTTAGGTCTGTGTTCATGCACTACGGCAAGAATATAGATTTACATAATATACACACACACACGTCATCGCCATAGTGAGAAAATGGTGTCTTTATAGCCAAATTTGTCTATTACAAGAAACAACACATTTGATCTCCCCTGATCAGCTCTTTTAATACACGCATTTGCCGTTTTAATAATTTTAATTCCGTCCAGCAGCTTCTTACAATTTGTAGCGGTGAACAGATATCCTCCCAGCACTATTTGTGGGTTTAGGGATGGAGCGGGCTGTCTCTATATAACATGGTACAGAGACAAGGAGGGAGTGAAATGACCTATCTTCACAGCAACCTCCCTGAATACAGCACTCATCATGCAGGGACAGACCTTTTACTACTAGACACAAAAACTGCGTTTCTGACATTCCTCCAAACTCACTGCTGTTTAAAGGTAAGAAGCAGGCAGGGGAATATATATATATATATATATATAGCCATGAGCTGCCCTGAGACTTACATTATGTTTAAACTGTATTCGTCTATTTGCTAAATGTCTATGCAGTAAGGGAATGTATTCGTGTAAAATAGCGAAGTTCTATGTGTAAAATGTATTGGATTCGTCTGAATGTAAGGTAGTTTCATTCCCTTAGTTTGTTTGAATTAAACTACCGAACAGTCAGACCTCCCCTGTGTGAAGTGTGTCCTCAATTACCCGTTGCAACATTGTTGCGAACGGGTAATTGACAAGTGAAGTAGCCGTCCTTTGTTCTCGGGGGTGGCCGCCATTCGACAAACGAACACGTGGCGGCGGCCATTTTAAAACTCCCGAACAGCGGTGTTTTGCTGTTGAGTGTCTGGAACTCAAATCGGACACTCGACTAGGCGAACACCGCTGAAACCTCCAAAAGCCCGGTCCGTTCGGTTCCTAACTACCGAACAGCCCCTCGTTCGGTAGATAGAAAGAACCGAACGAGGGGATTCAGGCGAACCCTCCCTAGCCTCTATAGCTAGAGGTTTTCGTGCAGTTTGTTCCCTTACTCCAGGACCGACCGCAGGGCCCATTCACATGGAACCGCATTCGGCTGTTTCACTCAGTGCGGTCGGTCATTTTATTCCCTCCATAAATTTCCCGAACCCCTGGTCTGATCTGGGTGATTTTTGGATATGTTGTTCACCCAGATCAGGGCTATCAGGGGGTGTAGGATTTAAAGGGGTACCCCTACGTTTAGGGGTACATCCAGAAATGGGGGGAATTACTGTACTGGATAAGGGGATTATGATGCCGGCTGAGGGGAGGAGATGTGTGGGAGGTTACCAGGACAGGATTGGCTACTGTATTAATGAATGTAATCCCTCCCTTGCATGGGAGCATGCTTTAAAAGGCCAGTGTGGATTAAAGATTTCAGTTCTGCTCCTGAAACTGTGTGTCGTCCAGTTATTGGGATTGCTGTTGGGATATTGCTGTGTTATTTTGCCTGCTGGAGACCTTGCCTGTGGATTTACAATTTACTTGTTCCTGAGCCTCATTTGGATTATAAGCGGAGATACCTGGGGAATATTGCATCTCCGCCACACACACACACACACATTTTGTCTGCTTCTATACCTGTGCAACTAGCTAGTTATATATGCATGTCTATATGTGCAAGTGATTGTCTAATTGCATATTGCTTGCGTGAATTAAAAAGGTTTGTACAGTACGAGAGTGTGTTTAAAGTCTTGCCTGCCTTATTCATTTTTCCTCTTGGTTTCTAACATCTAGGTAAATTTGTCAAAACTTGTTTAAGGAATATAAATGTTTGTGCAAGACTGAATGAGGTTTCTATTTAAAATCCAGTTAAAGGGATTCTCCAGTGCCAGGAAAACTGCAGGACCCTGTAGTGCCCCTCTCCCTCCCACCCAAAGTTGCTGAAGGGGTTAAAACCCCTTCAGTGACTTAGCGGAGTCCAGCGCCGATGTACCTCGTCAGGCGGCAGAGGAGACCTAATGCACATGCGCTGCAATAGCCGAGCACGTGCATTAGACCTCCCCATAGGAAAGCATTATTCAATGCTTTCCTATGGATATTTCGACGACGCTGGAGATCCTCACATAGCGTGAGGATGTCCAGCGTTGCTTAAAACACTTTTCGTGTTCTAAGAACACGGAAGTCCCTCTAGTGGCTGTCTGATAGACCACTAGCTGTCTGATAGACAGACACTAGAGGAGGACTTAACCCTGCAAGGTAAATATTGCAGTTTATGAAAACTGCAATAATTACACTTGCAGGGTTAAGGGTAGTGGGAGTTGGCACCCAGACCACTCCAGTGAGCAGAAGTGGTCTGGGTGCCTGGAGTATCCCTTTAACACGAAGCAGAAAGTGACAACGTTTTGGTGCAGGCTGTTTGCCCAGAAAATTAAGAATACTCACTATCTCCGCCTTCCTGATAATGCTCGAATACAGGCAAGGTTACCCCTGGAAAAAGCAAAATAAAACAAATGTTAAAAAGGTGTCATTTAATTCTTTAACATTTTTTTAAAAAAAGTTGAATTTTTTTTTTATTAACAAAAATCGTAATGCACATTTACATTATAGAGAATATGTGATTCACTAAGACACTGTGTGCATAAGCGTGCATGTCCAATTTGTAATCCAAAAGGAGGAGGGAAAAAAAATATAAAAAGTGTCAGACATTTTACTAGACATTGAACATATTGTTGTTCATTTTTTAAAATAAAACAAAGAAAAACTAGATAACTGTCCCCGGTTGGGCATTTGTTGAAAATTTTAAATTCTAAACTTACCTGCTACGTTATCTTTCTTTGCTCTCACTTTAACTTGCGCCTTATTCACATTCTGGATAACAGTGGTACTATTGGAAGGTGAAATGAATAAATTATAAAAAAATAAATTAAAAAAAAGTTTGATTCTATATATAAATCACTTAGGTGCATATACTGTATTTTAAAGGCGTCTAAAAATATATAAAATGTGAAACTCAAATCAAAGAAAGCAAGTGTTCCCCTCTACTGTAATTTGCTGCACTTGTGTTATTTTTCTCTCTCTCTAATAATGGAGGGTTGCTGTTTAAACAAGTATGCTGTATATAAGAAGTAAAGAATTCATACTTTCCATGTAAAGCTGCAGTGGGGATCCATATTGACTAAACAGTGCTATATTCCAGAAAACTCAAAGCAAATGCACTTAAGGTAGGAGCATATTTTAGTGGCTTTTACACTGTCATATCATGTTCTTTAAGCTAGTTCTTATAATGCAACACTTAACTGTGACGCTAGTTACCATCACTGGGGGCTGAAGACAGACACTTTATATAGGTCCCCAGATTGCTCTTGTGTTGTAGTCACTTTGTGCCCATTATAGGTACAGGGTATGTGTTTTTTCTCCCCACTTTACTTGTTGTTTTCACAAAGACTGTTGTCCCATTGTCCCAGAGACCCTTCCAGGCTAGTTCAAACTTGTTGTTCTTCCATCCTCTTAAATTTCCCATGTGGTCCTCAGCCCTTGTTAGTGTCCATCCCCACTCTGCACAAACCAGTAATGCATTTTCACTTATGGAAATTAGTTGGGTTTTGTGTGAAACGGTTCTTGTACAACACTTCTTGGTGTCCAGCAGGTAATTAAATAATGGTGACTTAAACCAATTATGTCCTGGACACCAAGACTCTAGGCAGGGACTTATATTGTTTTAACTTAAAGGACCACTATAGTCACCTAGACTACTCCAGCTCAATGAAGTGGTCTGGGTGCCAGGTCCCCAGATTTTAACCCTGCAGCTGTTTGCATTGCAGGGTTAATTCAGCCTCTAGTGGCTGTTTTCCTGACAGCCGCTAGAGGTGCTTCCGCGATGCTCAATGCGAAAAATCGCATTGAGCACGCAGAACATCCATAGGAAAGCACTGAGGAATGCTTTCCTATGGGCAGTTTGAATGCGCATGTGCATTCGGCTCCACTCGAGAGCTGACGTCGAAGGGGGGAGGAGAGGTCACCAGTGCCGAGGGAGCCCGGCGCTGGATTAAAGTAAGTAGCTAAAGGGTTTTTAACCCCCTTCAGCCCAGCAGGGGCCCTGAGGACTATATAGTGTCAGAAAAACAAAGTTGGTTTTCCTAACACCATAGTGGTCCTTTAAGACCTCCTGTGGGGAATGTGTCTATAAAATACATGTGTTGTGTTCAATAAAGTCAGTTCTTATTCACCCTTGTGCTCACCTGAAGTCTCCTGCTGTGAATTTTGCTTCAGCAAGAGAAAAAGCAGCTTCTCTCATTACCTCTCCCATTAACATCTTGGTCTGCAAAACCAAAGGGACAAGTAATACACAAAGAATACACACAGAAATGAAAGTTGCAAAGTCCAGGTTGTTTTAAATATTTTAAAAACACTGCAGGGTTAAGACTACCTCTAGTGACTATCTCCCAGACAGCCAGTAGAGGCTTTTACACAGAGTTGAACTCCACAAAACAATGCTGCACATCCTCACGCTCTTCACTGAAATCAGGCAAGTGTAAAAAATTATGTTTTAACCTTTTATTTGTTGGAAGGGGGGAGATAAATGAAATATATCCTGCATTTTAAAATCATATTTACACACCTCAATAATTTTTTTCAGGATCTGTCGAAAACGCATGGTTAAAGCATCAGATTTTTTCTTCAGAAGGCTGCGTCCTGTTTGAGCTCCTTTCAATCGTGCTTTCATGATGGTCTGTGCCCTAAGAGAAAGTGGAATAGTAACACCTGCTTTTTTTTTTTTTAAACCCAAAACGTACGAGCCAATCAAACAATATGGCAGGTAGGCAACCTTTGGCATTTAATGTTATGTGGACTCCATGGACTTATGCTTTCCTAAGAGCATTATAGGAGTTGTAGAACACAATATCTGGAGTGCTGAAGTTTGACTACCACTGCCATATGGCATACACAACACCGGATAACAATGCCTTTAGAAACCATGGTTTCCTGGTATACAATGTACTTAAAATAGTGGGATGCTCCTCGGTCCAAAAACTAAATCCTAAACAAGAATATTTTGAATGCTGTAATTCCAAAATACATTTTCAAGCATCACTTATGTGCAAAAGTGCTGCAAGTGTTTGATTAATCCATTCAAGGGATGAGGTTAGGCAAGTAGATTATATTATAGTATGTTACTTGACATGAAGGATTTGGAGTAGAAAAAAGGCTTGGGGTATACTGTTCATGATGATGACGACAGAAGTAGCCTCTAGCAAGTATTTTGTTAAAGTGCCCCAGAAGAGTTAATTTAAAAGGATTACTCCAAATACCATGACCACTTCAAGGGTTTAATGGAGGAAGGTGGAAGGGTAATCCTTTCATCATACCCACTACAGTGGGCTCTGGGTTGCCTTATAAATAAATGAATTTTCTCTATAAAATCAGGATAGTATTTGGTGATCAAGATGATCAGTTCTTTCTTTTGATTGGGGTAATTTTAGGTAAAATGTGGGTGTTTGGATTAAATGGACTTTTTGGTTTAGTGAAAAGAAATACATAAATAAAACAAAAACTAAATGGTCAAATAGATTGTTAGTCAAATAATTTATTTTATAGTGGTAAAGGTTAAAAAGACGATGAGGAATTCAAAGACGTAGGCAACGGACAAGTGGTAAGGAGGAATTGAGCTGCAGAAGTTGTACAGTAAAAAAAATACAAATATTGGCTAGGTAAAATTTGAAAACAGAGGGAGATCCTAAATATGACTTTTAAAAGCGTTACTCCAACACTATGTGATCTGAAATGGTCATGATGCTCTGAGTGTATATATATATATATATATATATATATATATATATATATATATATATATATATATATATATATATATATATACACACACACACACACACACACACACACACACACACACTGCCATTCAGTAGAAAATGCTGCACATACAGATATATTTAATATTGTTGCCACAGCAGTCTCACTAGTACATTATGAGCCAAACTGGAATAAGAGTTCTGAGTTGGATAATGTCAATTTGTGAATGTTCTATGCACAAAAAGCCATTCATTGGCTTAGCAATCATTAAAATACCACGGTTTTAACCTAAATCCTATACATGGGGATCACTGCCCAACTCTGGGGTAATAAACACAAAAATACAACACAATTCTGAAGTTTCAAGCAACGTTCAAATGTTCTGTATGTATGAAAGCACAAAATCCCCCAAAATACTACTAAAGATTCTGGAACACGTTTAAAAATTAAAAGAAAAATACTAAATTACCCCTAGCGGTCCATCCTGCAATATATACTTGTATGTGTAATAATGAAAATGTATCAAATCAGGTCATGAAACTAGAGTGGACTATGGAATTTCACACGTACATACACCAACACAATATCAATATATAACACAAAATTGGACGCCCCCCTCCCTTATTCAAGTAAGATGGTATATTCATTTAAATACAACTTGAAAGTACTGGGTGAGGGTTAAATGTGCCTACACTGGGTCACTTTAACCTTGTATATGTATTATCAGTACTTTTTACAGTCTACCCTTTTCCAGTTTTCTCTGATACCTGCAAACCTATTTACTGCACAACAGCCAGTTAACTCTAGTTTCAACACAACCAGCTTGTGTTGTGTAAACATGCCTAGTGTTTGCAATGAAAACACACATTCCCGTTCAACATATCTATATAGTAAACACCTGCCCCTAAACATATGCAATAATTACAATTGGGCATCCAATCTACATTACCAATTTGCCTAGAAAATCCACAAAGTTAGTTAATACAGAACCATGTTTTATTATTCTATTCATGAGAAATCTGTGTTACAAATCTGGATTTATTTAGCTGTGGCAATGACAGTAGCCCAACTTCAAAATATTTGATTTAAAAAATAAGTAAAAACGCTAATAAAAGAACTGCACCTCTAAAATGTATGTGGAATAACTATATAATAATACAAAATGAAATGTAAGGGAAGGAAATGTAAGGATTTAATATTGGTAAAGAGTCTTTACATTTTAATGATGGCATGATAGAGCCTGTATGTTCTTCATCATGCCAATGGTACTCCAAAAGTTTGGACACACTAAGGTTGCCAAGGAAAACTGAACTTTAAAAAATAACTTGTGGAAAATGGAAATCATTTGTGAAAATTACCTTTATTTATTGAAAAGGAAGTAAAGCAAACCCTTCCTGCAACTATGAATGTTAAGTTGTGTTGTCTCTTCTGACCTTGTGACTATCTCTGCCATCATCAGCCCTTAAGTAATTTTGCCTCTAAGTAATACACATAGATCAAAAGCAATGTTGCTGGCTAATTTGCATTTACCAAATACAAATAAAAGTGAAAATAAACAAAAAACAAACAAAAAAAAAAAAAAAAGGGTGGGCTAGGAAGAAGAATTTGGCTAATGATTTGCAATAGAAGTTAAAGTCGCTAGATGTGCATCAATCATAATTTGACTGCATATCATATTAGAAGTCAGGTCTTAAATTTCTGCAAGCCTGGAGAGTCCACAACACATGGCGTTTCTACTCAGTAGGCCTACATTTTTACTTGCCAAGCAATAAGACCAAAGTTATTTTAGAGAGACATTCTTGACTACCATACATACAAAAATATTTAATTAAACTAAACTTAGTGTCCTCCTCATTTGTACCTGCCTCTGCACATTGTGTTCCTAAGTAATACTTTGTGTTTAATAAAAGGATGTCTTTTAACCGGCAAGCATGTTTTCAGTATGTGGACCTGGAGCTGTGGAAGCATTTATATTTTAATCTAAACTTGCAGTCTTTTTAAGGGGAAAAATAATCATTAAAAAAGAGACGTAGAAGGAAATGGATATGTAAACATGTGATTTCTAATCCAGTCCTGATAGCAAAGTAATAGGGCAGGTTTACCTTCAGAACTGGGTTGGGAGAGAGATAGTGGAGAGACAAAACAGCACAGGTAGAGTAAGATGGAAAAGGGAATTGAGGTCAAATTAAATCCATCTCTGAATATTAACATGATATTGCCCTAACCGTCCCAAAAACTAAATTTGAGCGATGATGTATTATACAGTAATAATGCATTCCTTCTGTAAACCCTGATAATCTAGCATGAAATAGTAGGGTAAAAACTACAACGCTATGCAGAGTGACCATTGTTACAGAGTGCGTATAAAGAGCAGCACGCCATTTAGCTGGTGTTCTGGTCCCCCAGGGTATACAAACAGTGGTAAGAGAGGTAAATCATGTGTTTAAATGCATTGTACAGATAGCTGCAGTGGGTACAGAGACGGTTACACAGAGGCCGACTGGGTGTTGATGGTACACTGACATTAGAAATAGCTGGCTGGTCTGGGTAAAGTGAAGACAACAATAGAGGAATGGAAACATAGAAGACTAAACAGGGAACTGAAAACATAATTGCAAAAAATTAGAGTAAAACAAAACAAACAAAAAAACAAGTTGTTGGGTTTATTCACAAAAATCTAAATTCTCATGGGTTGAAATCCTAATCACAAAATTTAGGTTACATCAGCTGATTTGGAAAAAAATGTCCAATTCTAATACAATATATATAAGCTTGAATTTTGACATTTGGATTTCTAAGCTCTACAGTCCGCTGTTAAGTTATTAACCCTGTGTGACTACAGAGGCTTTAGCATTTTTTTTCCTAAATCAGCTATTTTTGTGATTTTCCAATGCACAGTTTGGCGAATAAACCCCATGACAGAGTTGGGTCTCATAGTACTCACGGAGGCTTTATTTTTCAATGGATAAATGAATAGCAATCATGACGAATTCCAGTAATTTTACATTCTAGTGTGATCAAGATATTAGGGTGTGCTAAAATAGGAATCTATATATTTTCTAATCTATAGATATAGACAAAAGATAAAATATATATATTTATCAACAAAAAGTAAAAAAATAAAAATTCTCCAAGCTATAAACAATGAGGATATTCACCTCTGCTTAAGCAATTGCCCCCAATAAATTTCCCAGAGCAATGGAGAGCCCTATGAACACTATGAAGTGTTTAATACAGTGCTCTGACACATTTATTTTAGTATTAACTATGTTGTATGTCTATAATGGGTATCTGAGATACATTTTCCAGTTAACGAATGGGTAGTCAAGCAATAGCCAGATACATCACTTGGACCCCTGTCAAAAAAAATAAATGATTAAGAAATACTCTGAGATGGTCAGATTGGCCATTATTAGCAGAAGTGACATAGATCCCCCTAAGCTCTGCAAAGCACATCGCTAGGATTATAATATTAATATACATACATCCTGGATGGGAAAACCTCAATCCTGTCCTTGCCCGACATGATGACTGTCTCTTGTCCCCGCTGTTACCCGGTGCACTGCGATCAACCTTCTCGCTGCCTGTCTGCAATGGACGGTATTGCCTTCTCCTGAATGCCAGCCAGCGAAGGAACCTGTCACGTGATGACGAGTCCAAAAGGGAGGCGCCCTGGTCCGTCACGTGACCTTCGCGAAACCTACGGGTGTGGCTTCCGCGTCACGTGGCCTACAGGCTAGCTCGTAGAGATGGCGGCACGTCCGGTCAGCGAGTGCTGCCCGTGGCATTGCCTGTTTTTATTTCACCCTTTCATTTTTACAATTCCGTATCCTTGACAAATGGGTTTGGCTATTAAACTGTATCAAACATATGTAACTTTGATTACCTACTAACTTAACGTCTTGAATTTAAACCCACACAGGTGGCGTACAGCTTCTGTAATTAAATAGGACTTAGAGGGGACACCTACACCCCCCCCCAGGTTGACATTTTACTGTGCCTTGTTGGAACATACACTTTAAGCCTTATGTAGTTGTTACAATTTTCTCCTCATGAATAGTCCTATACGTGTACGTTTTTTACTCTAATTTACATATTTCGTTGAGTGATTAAATTATAATGTTCCGCTACCAAAATGGCCGACGCGGCTTCACCCTTTCCCCCGTAACCATGGTAACCAGGGCCTTCGTCCTACCGTTCCGGTATGACCACTTCCTTAGGCCGGGCTGCGCATGCGCTGTGGTCCTTTGCCGAAACGCATGCTGATGAAATAGCACGGTTCGCGGACCAGGCGGCAGGGCCCACTTTCAAAGTGTACAACAGCAGCAGATATAGGAACCGGACACACTTCCTCCCAGCAAGTAAGAATCTGCTGCTTCTACTCAATTATTCCTCATATAGAACACGTTAAATGGTTGGTAGGTCGGGGGAACCTGCCGGCTTTATTCACTAAACTCCGAGTTCTAGCGAGTTAAGACTCGAAGGACAAATAAGGCTAAAATGAGCTGATCTAGGAAAATTGGCCAACTAGGCTATCGCCACTGTTTAGTTATTGTAGCCCAATGTTTGGTATTTAGATTTCATTTTTGCACTTTAGTCAATTTGTCGATTTTTAAAATTTTGTTTAATTTTTTTTTTTTTTTTATCCCAGTGTTAGCATTTTCCTAATCTTTTATCACCACTAGCAGAGGTGTTTTTTCAAGTACTCCTGATATCCACTTGGTTTTGGAGAAGTTATCTCTGATTCTCGTTTATTCAGCAGTGCTTTCCATTTTCCGCTTGTTTGAGCAGTCATCAATTTGTTCGTCTTTGCCTGGTTTGCTTCATCAGGATGGCAAAGTTCAAGCTAAAATAGCTCATCTAGAAAAAGTGTATACAAATTCGTCATATTCACAAGTTTTCGATTTCTGTTTTTTTTTTAAACCGGAATTTTGTCAGAATTCGGACTTTAGTAAATGAAACTCCATTTGCTCATCAAATTTCTAATTTTTACTTAATTGACACTGACAACATTTCATATTTACATTATTTCATTATTTGGACAGCTGTTGTGAATAAGACTAGGTTATACTGTACAACAAGCATGTCAAACTCAAAGTCTAGCAAGGGCAAAATAAACAATGTTTTTTATGTGGGCCGCAAAAAAAAAAAACTTAAACTTTCATTTAAAACGTAGGTTTATTTTGAAAAGTACAGTATAAAAAAAAACCCGCATCCCCCTCTACTAAACCACTGCACCCCCCATATACTAAATCCCAGTCTCCCCTCCACCCCCCCTACTAAATCCCAGCACCATCTAGCCAACATGCAGACTCCACTCACATTGCCGCTGTCAGTATGACTCCGGAGCCTGGCCTCTGCTATATACCCTAAATGGCGCCGCCTGCACCCTGTGCCAAAGCGGATCCTCCCGCTACTTCTTGACACCCTGTGAAGGTAGAGCATGTTGAGGTCACGTTGAAATGTGGCGTTGCATGCCTTTGTGCCCCTCTCTAGTTCCTCCACTGTCCAGCCGCGGCCATTGCAACACTGACTGACAGACATGCATTCACCGACACACACACACATACTTACACACAAACTCACATTATTGTAATTATTCCTGGGGTTCAGTGGGGATCTTCTGTCTGGAGATCTGCTTCTCACTGCTCCCTCGCAGTTTAGCGATGATGGAATATGCCGCTCGAGGGAGGAATGAGGAGCAGGAACACTGAGCTCCCTCTCTGCATCCACTGCCCCCTCCTCCCCGGCCGGGTAAATTATAGCGCAGTAGGCACCTGCAATGTGGGGAAATGAAAGCAGGTGCCTACTCTGCTTGCAACACTAGGCAATTAGGCATGTGTTTGCCGGGCAGCAAAGCTGTCCATTGCGGGCCGCGAGTTTGACTTGCTTGCTGTACAATATTAGTCCTAGATTAGAGTTAGTGGGGCTCCAGGTTATTGTATGCTGGGTCCCATGGTGTAGGCAGGGTGGTCCAAGGTTAGGCAACAAGGAACTAAGTTAAGGCTACTGAGGTCCCAAGGTTTAGCCAGCTGATAGCATCTTTTAGCATATGTATTTTTTTTTTTTTGGCAATGTGGGCACAGTCACCTGAACGGTGATTCGGTCACCATAGCTTTTGGAATTTGCCTGAATTAAGCACTGCTAGACTTGCCTCAGACAAAGCGTCTAGTTCTTTGCTAGGTGTAGTGGAGACTGGGAGCGACACCGTGCAGACGTCAGGTGTTTGAAGTGTTCCTTTATTAATCTAAGTGGAAAGGCAATATAAAATTGACTTCATTTAAAAAAAAAAAATTATAATAATCTGAACATTTGTATTCTTTACAGATAAAAATGGTTGGCATGGCAACTTCTACTCATATTGTAATACTTATTTTAGTTGGAACTCAACTGCAGAATATTCTAATTGCAGTAATTATTAGTTTCACCTCCTGTTATACTGATATGAAGCAGTGGTTACTGTATCTTTAAATATACATGTAGGATGTTAATTGTGATTAAAGTATAAGTCAATGATGATTTACACAAGCCACTTAATTCCCATTTAGAAATAATGCAGAAAAATAGGCAGAGTTAGTTTCCAGCTTAAGATGGAATGATTTATGAGAGAGATTATTAATGAAGCAGGACAGAGTTGCAATTAGTAATAATTTTATTATTGGAGGAAGAATTAGCCTTCGCAGCAGTTCCTTATGAATAAGAGGAATAACTTGACAGAATGACACAGTAATGAGCCTTTAGATACTGTGTAAGATTAGTAACAGAGAGTGGCTTGTTTGGAGAAAGAGTTACTTAACTTAAAAGGCAGTTCTGGAACTGAAGGGGTTAATTACACCCAATGGTGAAGAAAGTAGAAGTCCGTTTTAGCAAGCCGAGGTCTAGGAGTGGAGAAGGTAGAAGTCCGTTTTAGCAAGCCGAGGTCTAGGAGTGGAGAAGGTAGAAGTCCGTTTTAATAAGCCGAGGTCTAGGAGTGGAGAAGGTAGAAGTCCGTTTTAGCAAGCCGAGGTCTAGGAGTGGAGAAGGTAGAAGTCCGTTTTAATAAGCCGAGGTCTAGGAGTGGAGAAGGTAGAAGTCCGTTTTGGCAAGCCGAGGTATGGGAGTGGAGAAGGTAGAAGTCCGTTTTGGCAAGCCGAGGTATGGGAGTGGAGAAGGTAGAAGTCCGTTTTGGCAAGCCGAGGTATGGAAGTGGAGAAGGTAGAAGTCCGTTTTGGCAAGCCGAGGTATGGAAGTGGAGAAGGTAGAAGTCCGTTTTGGCAAGCCGAGGTATGGAAGTGGAGAAGGTAGAAGTCCGTTTTGGCAAGCCGAGGTCCGATACAGGCAGGATCAAGGTAGAGCAGCTGATCACTGTGCAGGCACCTGTGCAAATAATCCAGCCCTTTGAATCTGGCGCGGTCTTCCTAAGTATCGTGGAAGGACCGCGTCAGAAAAAAAGGGGCGGGGCTAAGCGCCGTGAACCCGGAATGCATGCCAGGCTATACCTGACACATATTTAGGTGGTGGTTGCTTTTAAAACAAAGAGAAACTTCTAAACTGAGTTTAAACAAATGTTTTCTTTGTAATTGTCCTAAATACTTTTGTGTTTTTATTTTATTTTTGCAGAATGCCTGGCTTAAGTTGTAGATTTTACCAGCACAAGTTCCCAGAAGTCGATGATGTGGTCATGGTGAACGTACGATCAATTGCTGAGATGGGTGCATATGTCAGCCTTTTAGAGTATAACAACATAGAGGGCATGATCCTTCTCAGTGAACTTTCAAGAAGGCGTATCCGCTCTATTAACAAACTCATCCGAATTGGCAGAAATGAATGTGTTGTGGTGATAAGAGTTGATAAAGACAAAGGTAAATTTCAGCAGAAGGCAAGCAGTCATGCTGGTGCTTATGTTAAACTGTTTTATTAATATTCTTGTGATTTGTAAAGAGCGCTTTTCCTAGTCACCTTTGAATTAGTGAAATGTTAATATCACACTATCAGTGCTGCCAAGATCGTGGGGGTCCCTAAATGCCAACAACAGCTGTGGTTAAAGGACCACTATAGTGCCAGGAAAACATACTTGTTTTCCTGGCACTATAGTGCCCTGAGGGTGCCCCCACCCTCGGGGTCTCCCTCCCGCCGGGCTGGATGGAGAGGAAGGGGTTAAACTTACCTCTTTCTCCAGCGCCGGACGGGGAGCTCTCCTCCCTCTTCTCTTCCTCTTCGGCTGAATGCGCATGCGCGGCAGGAGCCGCGCACGCATTCAGCCAGTCCATAGGAAAGCATTCACAATGCTTTCCTATGGACGCTGGCGTCTTCTCACTGTGATTTTCACAGTGAGAAACGCGGAAGCCCTTTAGCGGCTGTCAGTGAGACAGCCACTAGAGGCTGGATTAACCCTAACATAAACATAGCAGTTTCTCTGAAACTGCTATGTTTATAGAAAAAAGGGTTAACCCTAGATGGACCAGGCACCCAGACCACCTGATTAAGCTGATTTGGTCTGGGTGCCTATAGTGGTCCTTTAACCCCTTAAGGACCAAACTTCTGGAATAAAAGGGAATCATGACATGTCACACATGTCATGTGTCCTTAAGGGGTTAATATCAAATGGGGCACAATGCCATAGCACTTTTCTCTTAATAAATCCTTCAGCAAGCTCAATACTTATATACAAACATGCATGTTTACAGTTACAGTATTTGCTTTTATTTCGATTTAAATCCTCATGTTCTGCAGCTTCTAAAGTCAAATATCTCCAGAGAAAAGAACAAGTAACAGATGGCGCTCAATACACGTCTAAAATCGTGAATATACATACAAAAAAAAACTTTATAAGGGAGCTGCTTCTAAGGTTTTAAAGTGCAATAGCTCATAAAATGCTAAAAATACAATAATACAGAAAAAAGGGTGCGCTGTGTCTTTAAGACAAAAAATGTGCAATATTCCTTTAAAAACACTCTGGTGCTTATGTCAATTCACAGCCTCTGTCTTATAAGTGTGTTAATATTACATACACTGGTGTAAGTACAAAAAAGTGCAAATGCCACTAATATACCAGTGCTATAGTGAAAATAAAAAAGAAATAGAATAAAATAAACGGAGCGCTTACAATATCCAGCTGTATATACCATGGATCAGGTTGCTCCGAATTATGTGTACATATATATGAAAAGCAAAAAGAAATAAATAGTGTAATACAGTATTACAAATTATAATATGGAGACAATATATATATATAATTGTACTCACAAGTGGAGAGCAGATAAGTCTGCTCTAACTGTATCCGCTTTGTATATGCTTAAAGCCAAGGGTCACAAGACGGCAGCAAATCGGAAAAAACTCTTTAATTTCAGCATATCTTCACAATTTAAAAATTACCAAAGTGGTGTCACTTAGCTCCCTCAGTCCTTCTCTGGAACGTATTCCGTTCTTTATGGCTGCCGGCTAGCACAATACCGCAAACACTTCCTGGAGGCGGAGCCTAATGTCGTAACCACGGCACGTGCGTGATGACGCGTTTCGCCGCAGAATAGGCTTCCTCAGATCACACTCTCATCCTGCTGCTGCTTTGCTTTTAAGTCTACTTTCATGGGCGTGTATCTGCCTATTTAGTCCTCAAATGTAAACTCTCTATACTAGTACGAGAATCTTCACTTGAATATTCATTCACAATGTCATATCACCTAAACAGCATTTTCTATAGCACATATATAAACACTCATGTTTTATACAAACCACATTCATTATACACATCTGCTCAATCTTTATTATCAAATATATTATAAACGAAGTCCTATTAATTTAAGATTCAAGATTAAAAAGATCTCTAAAATCATTTTCCTAAAAATAAAAAAATTACCAAAAAGAGGCAAAAAAATAGCAAATTAAAGAAATATATATATATATATATATATATATATATATATATATATATATATAAAAAAGTTGTACAAATCGAATTCTATATTTAAAGCTCTCGGCTCTAGAGTTCCCAAACGATGTACCCATTTCATTTCTTCCCTACCTATTGCATTTATATGATTTCCCCCTCTCCAAGATTTATTAACTATTTGGATTCCTAGAAAAATTAACCCATTGGGATCCCTTTTGTGGTATTTATTAAAATGGGCTGAAAGGCTATGTTGCTCAAAGCCCCGTTTTATGTTGTACACATGTTCATAAATACGTTTATGAAGGGGACGTGTTGTGCGACCCACGTATTGTAACCCACATGGGCAAATAAATTAAATTTTTACTACAGCAAGTAATAAAATCTTTTATAAAAAATTCCTCATCCTTTTGTCTTGCTTTAAATTTGCTTATTCCTTTTAGAGTTTTATTTTTACTGCACTTACAGCCCATGCACTTTCCACATGAATAAAAACCACTCTTATTGTTTAAAAACGTTGTTCCTACTTCTTTTTCAGGCTGATTAAAAGTTAGAAGTCTTTTAAAATTTGGTGCACCTCTAAAAGTAATAAAAGGTCTCTCTGGTATAATTTTTGCCAATTCTTTATCTTTCTTCAGTAAGGGCCAATGCTTATTAACTATAGACCTAATTTTTCTAGAATCACTATTAAAATCGAATACCAAGGGCATTTTTTTATCTTTTTCTTCAGTTAGTCTATTCTTTTGTCCCACAGTTAAATCTTCCTGGTCAAGTTTGATTACTTCCTCGTATGCTCTATCCAGTATACTTTTCGGATATTTTTTTTTCTCTGTAAATTTATCCATGAGGATACTTGCTTGGTCTTTAAAGACATCTAATTCTGTACAATTCCTTCTCAATCGTTGTAATTGTCCTTTTTGGGATGTTATCCAACCAGGGGGTATAATGACCACTATTATACAATACATAACTGTTTGCATCCACTTTTTTGAAGTAGTTTCTAGTTTTTATGTTCCCTCCTTCCACATAAATATCCAAATCTAGGAAACTGATATTGTTTTTACTATGGGAACTGGTGAGATGAATCCCCCAGTCATTTTCATTCAATTTATTAAAAAAATTCTCTAAGTGTAATTCCGTGCCTCTCCATATAAAAAAAACATATCGTCAATGTACCTATGATATGAGACTAGGTCCACCCCCCATTCTTGGCTGTTGTAAATATGGATATTTTCCCAACTTGATATAAATAAATTAGCATAACTGGGGGCGAACCTAGTCCCCATAGCGGTACCTTGACACTGGAGATAAAATTGGGAATTAAAAAAGAAATAACTATTATTTAAAATCCAACATATACTGTCTATTAAAAATTCTACATGTGAATGGCTAAACTTTCCAGATTCCTCTAAAATCTTTTTGATCACTCTACATCCTAAGTCGTGAGTGATTGAGGTATATAAGGAGGATACGTCACTGGTGACTAGTATAAAAGAGTCCTCCCACTTTAATTTCTTTAGAATTTTTATCACTTCTGTAGTATCCTTCAAATAGGACGGGACTATCTTCACTAGATCTTGGAGCCATATATCGACATATTTAGACAAATTTGCCGATATTGACCCTATCCCCCGAGACAATCGGCCTCCCTGGGGGGCATTTGATATCTTTGTACACCTTTTGGTAGTGTATAAAAAAACAGGTAGTCTTGGATGTTCAACTTTCAAGAAATTATACTCTGAGGACTCCTGTTTCTTTACCTCTCTCTAATAGTATATACAGAGATTCTTTAATTTCTTGAGTAGGGTCCTTTTTCAAACATTTGTATACTTTGTCTTCTCCTAATTGTTTATTACATTCTTTCAGATAATCCTCTTTATTTTGTATTACTATACTCCCCCCTTTGTCCGCCGGCTTAATAACTGTCCTTATTAGTCCTTAATTCTTGTAGTGATCTCCTCTCATTAAAACTAAGATTCTGATTCCTTCATTTCTTATTATTACTTATATTTAATTCCTCAAAATCTTCTAATACACATTTTTCAAACATATCTACCGCACTTGTTCTATAATTTCTTGGATAAAACACAGATCTATTTCTTAAGCTAGTATGATTCTTATCTTCTATCTTATTATCACATTTATTTATATAAAAAAACCTTTCTAGTGTCAAGTTCCTGGAATACTTTAGCATATCCACATATGCAGAAAATGAATTAAAACCCACATTGGGGGCAAATTTGAGACCTTTATTTAAAATCCTAATTTCATCTTTAGTTGGATTATACTTAGAGAGATGTATTACTCCCTCCAATTTGATGTCCTTCCTCTTTTTCCTATACTGTAATTCTCGTCCTCCTCTACATCCTCTGTATCCCTGTACCACCTTATCTTCTCTCCCCTAAAAAATATTTTTGTTCTGACTGTACATTGTCATCCGAAAGGATTTCAAAGCGATTTCTTAGTTCAATATCATTTCTTTTCTGTACATATGGGGGACTCCTACACTTTCTATTTCTATTAGGTTGATATTTATTTTTTGGTTCTACCTTTGTCCAGTTGTATTGTTTCTTGTTTTCAGGTGTTTTCCACTGAGTGCGTTCTGAATATTTAACACTATTTCCTCTCTTCCTATAGGAATGGTTAGGGGAGTCCAACTTATATTTATAATTGTACTCTTTCTTCTCTCTGTATGAATTGGTTTAAGTTCTAACTTTATTATTCTTATAATCTTGCATGTCTCTTTTATATTTCCTATGTTTGATCTCTTTTACTTGTGTTTCCAATCTATTCAGATTATCTTTAGTTTTCTTAGTTAGTTCGTCATAATCCCTAGTACCCAATGCTGGTTCTAATAATTTTTGGATATCTTTTACCTCCTTATCTAAATCTTCCAAGCCTTCGGTTCTACAGACAATGACTATACTCATCATCTCCCTAGAGAATCTTTCTAGTGCATCTTTCCAGATGTCCACGCATTTTTTATTTTTCTCATTTTCAAATGTCGGTGTTTTAGAGAATCTTAAACCTCTAGGGGTGATGTTGTCTTTTATATATCTATTTAAGGTGGCAATTTCTCATTTATATTTCTATCTCCAAGCAAACGAGGATTAACTGTTCCCATATTCTTTTTATGTACAAGTGCTAAGCACTCCAAAGGCATATTAGATATAGTGGTTATAGTATTTGGAGATTGAATTGACTCTGGTTTGTCAATATTTTTGTATGATTGAAGTAGATAGTGTTTTTTGTTTTTATATGTCTTGCATGGAATTGTCATACTAGAACATGTTGTTTTATGCCATTGACTGGAAGCATGTATAACTACATTGGTGAATCATTGATGCAGGTGTGAGCAAGTATACTGCTGAAGATGCTTTGTAAGCTGGTAAACACAAGAATTTAAACACATTTAGAGGAGGTGAATTAAATTCAAGTCGTCTGTGCTTTCAAAATTTGCTTGAGGTTGAATGATACATAAGATTAGAGGCCCTTGTAATTTTATTTAATACTTGAGAGGCGGGTCATAAAAAGGAGGAAAAAATAGTCAGTTCCACATATGCTTGCATGCAAAAGCTAAGTTAATCTATTGTCCTCCAATATGGCAAACAATCCTTATGCACCTTATTATGCAAATACAGTAAGCATAAACGCCACTAATAAATAATAAAGATGCAGTCTCTTTTAAGGTAGACTCCACACATGACTCCTATGAGTATTCAGTTGATCTACTGTATAACAATGATCTGTGATCTCAATATATACAATGTAGCTAGTTGCCACATTTAAGCTGGTGTATTTGCTAACAGTCTCTTATTGGAGATCCTGGAAAAGCTGAAGTGCCATTATGCAGTCAGCAAAATTTCTTTATCAGACCTTCAAAGCTTCGTTCCTAACAGTCTCTGCTCTTTTCCTCAATGCAGTTACTGAAGATATGTGCCCAGACCAACCAAATATTGTGGAATAGAAGCCTTAAATGTTCTTAGAGACAAAAGCATACGCCTCTGTACATTCAAACAAACACAGAGATTTATTTAATTGCTATGCCTACACGTAAAATGTACAAATAGCACATAATCACCGCATACATGCAGGAGTCCCACACAAAACTCCTTGAGCACGAGGCTAAGTGTAGCCAAAATCGTAACCTGTAAAAGACACGTTCTGTTCTGTAGCTGGAACTTTCTCAATGTTATCCAGCCATGTATTTTGCCTTGAGCAGTGCAAATACTATGCCATTTCTTAAAGCCTGACTGCATTATATCATAACTATATTTTGGTTTATTATTCAGTAAAAGGAGTGTGTGACCCCCTGTATATTTTGTACACTACAATGTTTTAGTGAAAATTTGGACTGTTGAAAAATGAACTACCGGTATATTAGAAATTATACTTAAGTTCAATCTAGACTATGGGACAAAGATCTCTTAATGTCTCAAGAATGTCATAAAAGCTTTTCCAATAGAGTAGGTGGCTAGTGTTTATATTTTAAGCCATCATATGATTGTGTGAAGCTACATTGGCATGGACAAAGTAGGAAATCCCAGATCTTAGATACTTCCCGCTTATTTTAAAATCATCCCTAATGATACTATTAAATCAACGTGCTTTCTTTTTTCAGTTGGGTGACCTTTTGCCCAGGATGCAAAATTTCCACTAGCCATTGGCAAGTGACAGTTCAGCTCTGACGAGTAGAAAATTGCACATCATGGGCCCTCCAGGCTTGCCGTGGCAAGTAACATTTAGGCTTTAGTAGTGTAGGGATTGAAATTTTGAGAACTGGTTTAGCAATTGGTGTGTAGAATGGATGGCAAACTTTTGTTGTTCTAATGATCAAGTAGAGAGCAAGAATCTTTGCAGTTGCCAATTGCATTTTTAATGTTTAGCTCTAACCCTAAGGCTTGGTGGACTTTTAATGGATGGGATCAGGACTTTTCAGATTGGAAACATTGAGTGAGAAAAGTAAAATGAATGGTGCTAAGACTCATTTCTTCATTTGAGGATTGGAGCCAATTAAGCACAAATGATGAGTATATATTTTGACACTGTACACCACTATCTCTATATTAAAATGTTAAATGCTTTTTATTTCCCTTAGGTTACATAGATTTGTCCAAAAGAAGAGTTTCACCAGAAGAAGCTTTGAAATGTGAAGACAAGTTCACCAAATCTAAAACTGTAAGTATTGGTGGCATTGCAGTGATATACAGTGCTGTAAGTGATCATCTGTTGCAGTATTTCTTTCTTTTTGGGCTTGCTTACCTACCATGCTGGTTGTGTAGAATTAGACGTTCGAATTTTCTGATATTTTCATTACTGAATATATCAGAAAACTATATGTTCAGTTTATCACTGAGTACTATTGGGAAATCTGAACAGAGAAATAGATTTCATTACACTTTGCCATCGTTGTAACTTCAGACCTACTCCTCCTCTGTCAGGAAAAGATTGACACCATAAACCACTGTGCTGCATACATCTTTACAAACTTTGCTCTGCCCAACTTCAACAAGTTATGCAGTACTTTGTAAAATGGGCAGGATCAGTTCAGCTGCAGAACTTGAAGAGCAGGTAGAATTTTAAGGGATTAGAAAATATTTTTTGAATAACATAACATGCATACTTTTTGTTTTCACTATCTTGCTCAAATGCTTTAAAATATATATTTTTTTTAACGTAGAAATTCCCTTTATATGTTGTTGCTTGCTTGAGATGTATCACATGATAAGAATTCATGCATTTTTTGGGGGTTTCTTTTTTTTTTCTCCCCCATTTGATTGCAGGTCTATAGTATTCTGCGTCATGTGGCAGAAGTTTTGGAATACACAAAGGATGAACAACTAGAAAGCCTATTTCAGAGAACGGCATGGGTATTCGATGACAAATACAAAAGACCAGGTTATGGAGCCTATGATGCATTCAAGCAAGCTGTCTCGTAAGCAACATTTCAACTCCTCTTTTAGGGTTTGTGTCTTAGAACACTGTTATTGGTTCTTTGACAGTACTGCTATAGGGATTCAACTTGATGTGTGTATACAGAAACATATAACAAGTGTTCATGGTGAAATTAGTTTATTATTGTTATGGAGGGTTGATGGATTGTTTTTGTGGTAGCAGAACCTCTGCGCTTGTGATCCACCTGACTTACACTGCTTCTCTCTCTTAGTGATCCCTCTGTTCTTGATGGACTGGATTTGATAGAAGAGGAAAGGCGTGTTCTTATTGACAACATTAACAGACGTTTAACCCCACAAGCTGTAAAAATTAGAGCAGGTTTGTGTGTGCCCTCATTTTACATAGCTTAATACATACTAGTCCTTTAATATTAGTCAACTGTAGTTTGGAGTGTCTTATTGAAATATGAGTGGTTTTTAAAAAATTTTATTTATTTTTTTTTTGTTAATGAGTCAGCCGCATTCTGTAGTGCTTTTATATAGTTAAAACAATATGGCATAATGGGGAAAAAAAATCTTTTTTTAGATATAGAGATAGATATATAGAGATAGATAGATGTAAAAAAACAAATAAAATTCGTATCTTGTAATACCTTTTTTATTGGACTAACAGGATTTTTTTAATGACACGCTTTCGGGAGAACCTCCCTTTCTCAAGTCTGAATCATTTCTGAGCAAGACGACACAGAATTCAAAGTTGAGTTGTGATACAGGGGTTAAAGCGACATGAGTGTAGATAAGACACAGGTTTGTTAGAAAATAGACACCATTTTTGCAGAGGGTCATAAATACCTTTCTGAAGAGCAGAGTGAGGGGGACAGAGGGAGAAGAAAAACAAACAAGCAGACAGTGCAGAGGATGGTACACTTTATACATGCACACACATATAAATATGTATATGTGAACGCATAAACACATATACATGCACATGAACTCAAATACACAAATATAAATGCACAGTAATATATATAAGCATACATGCATACGAGTATGGGAAAGCATAGGTCTATTCAAAGTGCTAACATAGTACTTTGTATATAGATAGAATAAACATATAGGAATGCATTTTAAAGTGTCGATACATATGACAGAACAGTAAGATAATGCTGGGAGAGTGTTCATGTAAAGTGTTGGTAGTGGGACAGGAAACCCAAATCAATATTTAGTCCTCTATTCTTACTGTTAAACCATTTAATCATTCTGGCTTCAAAAGTTTTTCTTTCTTGGGTATTTTTAAAACCCCCTTTCAGTACTTTGATTTTTAGGTCCTTCAGTGAGTGGCCAGGCTGGGTAAAGTGGTGTCCCACAGGAGTGCAGTAGGATTCTTCTTTGTGGTGTTTAATAGAGTGTCTGTGCATATTCCTTCTGCCATTTAATGGCTGGGTGGTTTCCCCAATGTAGCATGTGGAATTTGGTGCATTGAATCATGTATACCACATTGCTGGATGTGCAGGAGTACACCATGGTAAGAATGAAGACAATGGGACCAGTCAATGCCCAAAACCTCGCTGCAAACCGTGTCAGCACATATGCACAGCCACACACAGCAATAAAACCTACAGCATTAAAGGTTCATACTCCTGCACATCCAGCAATGTGGTATACATGATTCAATGCACCAAATGCCACCTAGGATGCTACATTGGGGAAACCACCCAGCCATTAAATAGCAGCATTAGCTTACTGTTCTGCCATATGTATCAACACTTTAAAATTCATTCCTATATGTTTATTCTATCTATTTACAAAGTACTATGTGTAGACCTATGCTTTCCCATACTCGTATACTCGTATGCATGTATGCTTTTATATATATATATATATATATATATATATCTCTAGATCTCTATGCATTTATATTTGTGTATATGAGTTGTTTATTATTATTATTTATTATTATTGCGATTTATATAGCGCCAACATATTCCGTAGCGCTTTACACTATTATATGGGGGGGGGGAGGAATTTGACTATAAATAGGACAATTACAAGAAAACTTACAGAAACGAAGGGTTGAAGAGGGCCCTGCTCAAACAAGCTTACAGTGTATAGGAGGTGGGGTATAAAACACATTAGGACAGGGAAAGGAAGTCAAATTAGGTGGGAGTGGAGCAGAGCTAGAGGAGAGAGTAGAGTGCTGCCCTTTAGGAGAGAGCAAGAGGCAGGTATGAGAGGTAGAGGTTTGTCTGGGAGGCCATAGGCTTTCCTAAAGAAGTGAGTTTTAAGGCACTTCTTAAATGATTGAAGACTAGGGGAGAGTCTGATGACGGTAGGCAGGCTATTCCATAGGATGGGAGCCGCCCGTGAAAAGTCCTGCAAGCGCGAGTTGGCTGTACGGGTACGAGCGGTGGACAAAAGGTGGTCACGAGTGGAGGGACCGAGAAGGGGCATACCTATGGATCTGTGAGATTATTCAGTGCTTTATAGGTATGGGTTAGCACTTTGAATTGACTCCTATAGGATACAGGAAGCCAATGTAAGGACTGACAGAGGGGTGAGGTGTGAGAGGACCGACTAGAGAGGAAAGTCAGTCTGGCGGCAGCATTCATTACAGACTGTAGCGGGGCAATACGGCTATTGGGAAGACCAATTAGGAGACAGTTACAATAGTCCATGCGAGAGATTACTAGAGCATGGACGAGCTCTTTAGTAGCATCTTGTGTAAGAAAGGGGCGGATGTGGGCGATGTTTTTGAGGTGGAATTGGCATGATTTGACATCAGACCGGGTGTGGGGCTCAAAGGTGAGGCCAGAATCAAAAGTAACACAAATACAACGTGCTTGTAAGGATGGGCTGATATGGGTACCACCAATCTGAAGGGAGAGCGAGAGAGGAGGATTAATATAAGGAGGAGGAAAGACAAGAAGTTCTGTTTTGGAAAGATTCAGTTTCAGAAAGCGGGAGGACATCCAATCAGAGATAGAAGAAAGGCAAGAGGTGACACTTTGCAGGACATCAGGGGAGAGGTCTGGGGAGGAGAGATATATCTGTGTGTCATCAGCGTACAGGTGGTATTTGAATCCAAAAGAGGTAATAAGCTTGCCAAGAGAGGCAGTGTAAAGAGAAAATAGAAGGGGACCAAGGACAGAGCCTTGGGGGACTCCAACCGAGACAGGGCGAGGGGAGGAGGTATCATTAGAAAAGGAGACGCTGAATGAGCGTTGGGAGAGATAGGAGGAAAACCATGAGAGGACAGAGTCACAGAGACCGAGCGATTGAAGAGTTTGGAGAAGGAGAACATGATCAACAGTATCAAAAGCAGCGGAGAGGTCAAGAAGAATTAGTATGGATAATGACCTTTGGATTTAGCTGTGATAAGGTCATTAGTGACTTTGATGAGTTCATGTGCGTGTATGTATATGTGTTTATGTATATGTACATGTGTTTATGTGTTCACATATACATATTTATGTGTGTGCATGTATAAAGTGTACCATCCTCTGCACTGTCTGCTTGTTTGTTTTTCTTCTCCCTCTCTCCCACCTCACTCTGCTCTTCAGAAAGATATTTATGACCCTCTGCAAAAATGGTGTCTATTTTCTAACAAACCTGTGTCTTATCTACACTGTCGCTTTAACCCCTGTATCACAACTCAACTTTGAATTCTATGTGTCGTCTTGCTCAGAAATGCTTAAGATTTGAGAAAGGGAGGTTCTCCCGAAAGCTTGTCATAAAAAAAATTCTGAGAGTCCAATAAAAAAAGTTTTTTTTTACATCTACATGGACTAATACTGCTACAATCTCTACTTGAACACTATGGTGTGTGTGTGTGTGTGTGTATGTATGTATGTATGTATATATGTGTGTGTGTGTGTGTGTGTATATATATGTGTGTGTGTGTGTATATATATATATATATATATATGTATATATATGTATATGTATATATATGTATGTATATATATATATATATATATATATATATATATATATATATATATATATATATATATATATATATATATATATATATATATATATATATATATATAAAAAAATTTTTAAAATTTTTTTTGTAAATTTAAAGTAGCTTGTGCAGTGAGCTTTGCCCAAGTGCGGAAATGAATCAGCCAGTCATGATGCCCATAACTTTAACAGGGATTTCTGTTAATTGTAATTCAGTTTTCTACAGTAGAAAACTAACCGCTGCATTACAACTAAAACAAATCTGTCCTGTGCAGCCCCTCCATTCAAATACTTATACTGTCAACTTCCTTATAAGGTATATATGTGAAAGTGGGCTGTAGAACCTTTTGTTCTATGGTAACTGAGCAAACCACTTCATTGTTCCATTTTAGCAACCATCCACCCCAAAGTGAGCCTGCATTTTCATGCACATTAACCCTTCCCCCAAATGGCACCCTTGCATTCACATGCTCTTCAACCCTCCACCAAATGGCTTCACTGCATTGTTATGCTAGTTAACCCTCCACTCAAATGGCACCCCTCTATTCTCATGCCAGTTAAATCTCCATCCAAATGGTACTCCTGAATTTGCGTGCTTTAACTTTCCACTCAAATGGCACCCCTACATGCACGTTAACCCTCCGCTCAAATAGCACCACTACATTTGCATGCACATTAACCCTGCACCCAAATGGCACCTTTCACATGCACATTAACCCTGCACCCAAATGGCACCTCTTTCACATGCAAATTAACCCTGCACCCAAATGGCACCTCTTTCACATGCAAATTAACCCTGCACCCAAATGGCACCTCTTTCACATGCACATTAACCCTGCACCCAAATGGCACCTCTTTCACATGCACATTAACCCTGCACCCAAATGGCACCTTTTTCACAAGCACACTAACGATGCACCCAAATGGCACCTCTTTCACACGCACAAATACTCAAAGCATACAATCAAAACAATTGCTGTTCATAAAAATAAGTGTTGGAGAATGCTTTAGGCTTAGAAAATGTGAGTCCTGATTTGGTTATATTCTTTTTCAAGATATTGAAGTTGCTTGCTATGGATATGAAGGGATCGATGCAGTGAAAGAAGCACTGCGAGCAGGACTTAATTGTTCTACAGAAAATATGCCAATTAAGGTAAGTGACCTTGAATATAAATGAATAATAACTGTTATAACCCCATTCTGGTAGCTGTTATGTTTGATAGTGGGAAAATCCTTATTTTATTTACATTCTTCAAAACAATATATAGTCAAACTCAAAGAAATGTACTAACACATCTATTTCAAGTACCTGTTTGAAAGAACACTTCTTCGCAAGTACTGCCAAGCCTCAATAGCAAGCCAGTAATCAACCTCATGCTGATGATTTGCATTAAAAATGAAATGGCTGTCCATGAGTGGTTCACTGGCTTTGCATCTTTTCCTAAGTTGTATTTCAAAGCTGTTGTATACAGCAAAGGAAATCATTTTTAAAATGGAATGAGGCAAAAATGTGATTCTATGTTGAACTAATTTGCAAATGCTCACCCAGAATCCTTTGCTCTAGTAACATCACTGCAAATGTGTCATTTCTGTGGGGAAAAGCAAGTTTTATGGCTTGACTGGTGTGCAGATTTTTGTTTACGATACTATTGACTATCCACAGACTTCAGGTGGAAGGGGTTTTCAATCGCATTTTTTCCCCACCATAACTTTTTGGTTTTTGAGATATATTATCTGCCTGACTGAATTGTGTGTGTGTGTGTGTCTCTCCCACCCCCTCCCCCGGGCTCCCTCGGCGCTGGGAACTCTCCTCCCTCTTCCGACGTCATCCGTTGAATGTGCGGCAAGAGTCGCGTGCGAATTCAATCAGTCCATAGGAAAGCATTTCTCAATGCTTTCCTATGGACGTCAGCGTCTTCTCACTGTGATTTTCACAGTGAGAAGCGAGGAAGTGCCTCTAGCGGCTGTCAGTGAGACAGCCGCTAGAGGCTGGAGTAACCCTATTGTAAACATAGCAGTTTCTCTGAAACTGCTATGTTTACGGCTGCAGGGTTAACCCTCGATGGACCTATTGAGCTAAAGTGGTCTGGGTCCCTTCACTGGAAGTAAGGGGCCTAGCCCAACCCCTGGAAAAAAAAAAGCCTTATACCATTATCTTTTCTTTACCAAACTTTACAGTTTGCACTATTCAGTCAGGCGTGTAACATTCTTTTGGCATTTGCCAAACCCAGACTCTCCTATCAGACTGACAGGCGTGATTCGTCACTACACAGAACATGTTTCCACTGCTCCAGCATGCTTTATGCCACTCAATTCGACACTTGGCATTGTACTTGGTGATGTGAGGCTTGCAGGCAGCTGCTCGGTTTTGAAACTCTTTAGCTATGGAATCTGTGGAGTGTTGGTGACTTACTCACAATGTGCCTCAGCACTCAGTCACCCCGTTCTGTGACTTCACTTGGTGTTCCGCTTTGTGGCTGAGTTACTGCTGTTCCTAAAATCTTCCACTTTCGATTAAAGCCACTTACAGTTGGCCTGGGGAATACCTAGCAGTGATGAAGTTACACAAACTGACTGACTGCACAGGTGGCATCGTATCACAGCACCACGCTTAAATTCACTGAGCCGTTCAGAATGACCCATGTTTTTAACAAATGTTTGTAAATGCAGACTGCATGGTTCGGTTACTTGATTTTTATGCACCCGTGGCAATGGGTCTGATTGAAACACCTGAATTCAATAATCCAGAAGTGTGTCCCAATACGTTTTGTCCATATAGCATGTATATTTTTCATATATTTTGTCCATGCTGCTTTGCAGGAGTTAATATACAGACTTTGCCCAGCAGAGCATGTAAATAAAAAAAAAAAAAATTAAACTCAGATTTTTAAATTTAAATAGCACAACCCATGGCTAACTTTTAGTTAACTATTTGTGCAAAAATCGAACCTGCAGCAGATATGCAGGCTTTATATGCTTAATTTAAAGCAGAATAATAAAAAAAAACACCAAAGACCAGATCTGTTACTATAACAAAATGCATGCCTGAGTGTTAATTTATAGTAAGACAAAGCATAATTGTAAATATTTTTATACAAGCAATCTGTGACTGGTGTTTGTTATGCTTAAGACCGGAGGGCGTACTATTACGCCCTATTCTAAGCGGCTCTAAACGCCGCTGGGAGTAATAGTACGCCCTCTGGTCTTTTCCTACTTACCCGGTCGCCGGCGATCGCGGTTGGGGGGACTCCCAGGGAGCCCCCCGCGTCACGTCCGACCCCCTGGAAGCCCCCCAGCCATGTGAGAGTGAGGTCCTTGCGAGGACCTCACAATCACATGGCCGGGGGTGTAGCTGGCTGCAGCATTGCCAGCAGGGGGACTGCCTGTAATGACAGGTGGTCCCCCTGCTGGCTGGAAATAAAATCAAATAAATTAAAAAGTGTAAAAAAAAAAAATAATATATATACTTAGATTTTATATATATATATATATATATATATTCTAACACACACTGTCTAGGTGTATTTTACTATTAATATATATATATATATATATATATATATATAAAATCAAATTACACGTAGACTGATACTGATTAAATATATATATATATAATTATTGTGATATATATATATATTTATATATAATATAAAAAATAAATATGTAAATACGTTAAAAATAAAATTAAAATAATTAAAAAATATATAGATGTGTGTTTCGTTCTAACTGTATTGTGAAATTAATATATATATATATATATATATATATATATATATCTCTCTCTCTCTATATCTATATATATATATATATATATATATATATCTATCTATCTATCTATATCTATATCTTATCTCTATATATAAATAAAAATATTTGAAAAAAATTATACACATATATAGATTCACACACATATACATATATTTTTACATAATTAGGTATCTTAATTAATTATAATTAGCGGGACTTGCCTGACCACCCATGCCAAAAGTAAAGGGAATTTAATTTGCTAGCACTATATTTAACCCTATAACTTTTTCAAGACACTATAAAACCTGTACATGGGGGGTACTATTCTACTCGGGAGACTTCGCTGAACACAAATATTAGTGTTTCAAAACAGTAAAGTGTATTACAACGATGATATCGCCAGTAAAAGTGAAGTTTTTTGCATTTTTCACGCACAAACAGCACTTACACGGACGATATTATTGCTGCGATACTTTTTACTGTTTTGAAACACAAATATTTGTGTTCAGCGAAGTCTCCTGAGTACAACAGTACCCCTCATGTACAGGTTTTATGGTGTTTTCAAAAGTTACAGCGTCAAATATAAGGCTTGCGTTTCATTTTTTTCACATTAAAATTCGCCAGATTGGTTAGGTTGCCTTTGAGACCCTATGGTAGCCCAAGATTGAAAATTACCCCTATGATGGCATACCATTTGCAATAGTAGACAACCCAAGGTATTGCAAACTGGGTATGTCCAGTCTTTTTTTTTTTAGTAGCCACTTAGTCACAAACACTGGCCAAAATTGGCATTTTTTGCATTTTTCACACACAAACAAATACTAAAGCTAAATCTGGCCAGTGTTTGTGACCAAATGGCTACTAAAAAAGACTGGACATACCCCATTTGCAATATCTTGGGTTATCTACTATTGCAAATGGTATGCCATTATGGGTGTAAATTTCATTCCTGGGCTACTATAAAGTCCCAAAGGCAACGTAACCAATCTGGTGAATTTCAATTTGAAATGTAACGTGCTATATTTGACCCTGTAACTTCCCAAAATGCCATAAAACCTGTACATAGGGGGTACTGTCTTACACGTAAGACATTGTTGAATACAAATATGTGTATTTTATTGCAGTAAAAGCAAACAGTATTATGACATTGACCGTTAAAATGTCATGTAGAACTAAAAAAATCGTATTTTCTCCCATTTTTTCATATTAAATTATGTTTCATAGCTAAATAGTTGATATTAAATGAAAGCCCTGTTTCCCCTGAATAAAATGATATATAATAAGGGTGGGTACATTTACTATGAAATAGGTGAATTACGGTTGGACAGACATGTAGCGCAAATGCCAGGTTTTGTTTACATTTTGTTTTGTTCACAACGTGTACATTTGGCTCCGTCCTTAAGGTATTAATTTAGCCCAAAGGAGCAATTGTTTATTGTTTTGGGGTTTTTTTCTACTTCATTAACTTACGCTTGTAATCCTTTCATGTTTTGTGTACAAAGATAAATCTTATTGCTCCTCCTCGATATGTAATGACTACCACGACACTTGAAAGGACGGAAGGTCTTTCGGTACTAAATCAGGCAATGTCTGTCATCAAGGAGAAAATCGAAGAGAAAAGAGGAGTGTTTAATGTCCAAATGGAGGTACGTGTTTTTGCAATATTAACACCAAACCTGCAAGAGAATGGATTCAATAACCAGAACACCTTATCTAGTTCCAAGTTAATACAATTGAGAGACTTTTATATGATGGGTTTATGGAAACAAACTGCGGTCTTTGTACACATTATTGGAATTAAAGGTTTTCTATGATTTTATTTATTTATTTTTTATGTAGTTCTTTTTTTAAATTAAAAATGCTTTGAAACTTGCATTTATTTCGGCATTGGCACAGACTTTCTTGCACCCCTAACCTTTGGTGAAGTCATTAATCTTGTTGAATTTTGGCTAATCAAATGCTTCCCATAGAGAAGCATTGAGGACATATTGAACCTGTACTACAATTGTTATTTTAATTTCACAATTTTGTCTCCAAGTTTGAAGCTGGCTAGAAAGCATGCACTGTAAGGGAATTAACCCCTTAAGGACCACACTTCTGGAATAAAAGGGAATCATGACATGTCATGTGTCCTTAAGCGGTTAAAGGGACACTATAGTCACCAGAACTACAGCTTATTGCATTTGTTCTGGTGAGTATAATCATTCCCTTCAGGCTTTTTGCTGTAAAACACTGTCTTTTGAGATAAAATGCAGTGTTTACATTTACAGCCTAGTGATAACTCCACTGGCCACTCCTCAGATGGCTGCTAGAGGCATTAATTGTTGGCTTCTACTCCTTTGTATAATTGAGACTTTGCCCACAATTCCATTTCAGCCTATTTTCTGTGATCAGTTTGACAAAACATAACACAAAAGAAAAACACACTTTAACCCCTTAAGACCGGAGGGCGTACAATTAAGTAAAAGCAAACCGTATTATGACATTGACAGTTAAAATGTCATGTAGAACTAAAAAAAAATCGTATTTTTTTCATATTAAATTATGTTTCATAGCTAAATATTTGATATTAAATGAAAGCCCTGTTTCCCCTGAATAAAATGATATATAATAAGGGTGGGTGCATTTAATATGAAAGAGATGAATTACGGTTGGACAGACATGTAGCGCAAATGCCAGGTTTTGTTTCGTTCACAATGTGTACATTTGGCTTCCTTAAGGGGTTAATGTGTAACATCTATTTTTAAAATCTCGAGAGAATCTATTAATAATCTGTATTGTCTAATTGTTTTTGTGTTTAGCCTAAGGTAGTCACAGATACAGATGAAACTGAGCTTGCCAGACAACTAGAACGACTGGAGAAAGAGAACGCTGAGGTGGATGGCGATGATGATGCTGAGGAAATGGAAGCAAAAGCTGAAGATTAACAGAAAACTGCTTTGTTTTCAGTGTGAAATTTTACCATACAAACTGTATCTCAACATTCATAACATCTCCTGAATTAAGTGTGTACATGTTCTACGTCATTGCTTCTCAAGCCTGTTCTTAAACAATACTGACAGTCCAGGATATAGGGGTTACTAATTTGTATTCCAAAAGTAATATTCATAAGTCCTGGCCAGTTTGTGATCTTTGAGCACGGTTTTGAGAATCATTGTGTTCCATGATCTGTACACATTTTATTTATACACTTTTTTTTTTTTTTTAAATAACCATCATGATTTTGCTTTTTTGTATTACCGAAGAGTGGTTTTTGAAATTGGCAAAAAAAAAAAAAAAATTATCCGCTCTAAACTCAGTAGATCTATGCAGAGTTTATTCAGTTAAGAATGCTCTATATGAAAAACAAAATCTGGATTTCTTGGAAACCAATAGACTCATCCCTTTGCATGTAATTCCATGCTATTTCATATGCGAAAGGAAATTTTAATTGAAAGGGTCTCTTTACCTGGTATAAAGAATGGATTCTAATTTTTGACGTATAATATGTTACAAAATTACTAATTCTGTTACCAAAGAAATGTTCAGCAAGGGTATTTCTGGTCTCACTTTCCTGGTTTTGGTGAGATAATCCCCATTTTAGAGTCGTGTCTTGCCGTCCCAACTTTGTTCCCTGGTGTCATGCTTTTGGGGACCCCATGGAACTGTATGCAAAAGTGTAGTTTGCGCGCATCATTAGATGTGCTGGTGCAATACTCAGGCACTAAGTCCCTGCAGAGAGCACTGAAACAGGTCTCCCTGCTTGGTCCATCCTTTGTGGACTGGTCTGTTAGATTGGTTGGCAGCCTGGTGGCCAGGGTGACCTGCCAGTTCTTCAGGCAGACCCCTTTGGGCTGCACCAGGGCTGTAATTTCATCAAAGGACTAACCATCTTTACTTCGCTCACCTGCGTTCCCTTTTCACGGGACACTGGTGTTGGGGCAGGATGGTATTTTGCATTGGAAAGTCTTTGTGCTAAATAAACAGTCTGTTTCCTTTGCTGTTTGGATAAAAGTATGAACAGATGCATATCTCTTCAACATCAACTATGCTGGTGGCTCCTAGCTTGCAGCCCTTTTTTTTTTTTTTTTTTTTTTTTTTTTTGCTTTTCCCCCCCTCCCACTCCCTGCCAGAATATTTCTTTTAGGATGGCCAAATCCTTAGGGGTCATAATAACAAGTTACATATGTGATGCTTTGATGTCCAGTGGTTCCCCTTCAATTTTGTTTTTCAATGAAGCACATAAACTAACTCAGACCATGTGACAATCTGTGCTGGTGCTTGGTAAACTTGGATAGAGATCTGTTGGTGGTTTGCTAATTTTGCTTTGCTAGAACCACTGGAAAAAATGCAGCAGTTTAGACATTTTTTTTTTAATTTTATTACAGTTTTGAACATCTATTAATAAAAACTGCCAATAAAATCTAAGATATTTACTATTGCCTCAGACTTTGTGTATATATAAGGTGTATTAATTTATGTAAATAGAATGTTGCCTCATTCATTGTTTCCATTAAACCAGATAAATTAAGCTATAAAATAAATTTTAAAAATTGGGAAGCACAGCTAGTGGCCATCTGAGTGCATTAAAAAACAAAACTTGCTTGGACAATTTATTTATACTAGAAAAAGTACATTAATGGGATTCTACAGATTTGTATTCCTAACACTATAGTGCCCTCTGATGTTGCCCCCCACCCCCCGACATGTAAAGGGTTAAATCCATCAGAGGGAGCTAATGCGCATGTGCAGCCCTCCCCATAAGCAAGCAGTGCCTCGATGATTGATTTTCTATGGAGGATGGTTGTCCTCATGCAGTGTGTGAAGAAAACCAGCGTTATTTAGGCGACCTGAAGTCCGTTAACATCCTTTCTTATAGCCACTGGAGGCAATCTTGGTCCTGCAAGGTAATTGCAGTTTTTCTTAAACTGCAATGATTTACATTGCAAGACTGTGACAGGGATACTATACTCACACCACTTCAATTAGATGAAATGGTCTGGGTGACTATAGTGTCCCTCTAAGCTGTAGTTCTGGTGTCATGGTGTTCCTTTAAGGGGTTAAACATCAACGTTCTGTAAATTATTTATATAGCGCCAGCAAATTCCTTATCGATGTACAATGGGTGTAAAGCGACTTATGTTACATTAAGAATTCCTCGGATCCGAGAGATCTGTTCCTTTGTATCACCCACCCCCTTCACCATTTTAGACAGTTATCCAGTCCACCGGGGGCTCTGCCCTTTTAAAGTCTCAAAGATGTCTTGTATAGCTTAAGATATTTGTCCATAGCTGGGCTCACACATATGCGTATGCCAAGTTCAAGCATGTGACCTGTCATTGCAGAGAGGTGACTGCACATAGTGGGAAAATGATAAAGGCTGTGGAGTATGAGCTACACTTTTTGTCAACCTGCTGGTTCTACATAAAGAAAAGTAGTCATTACTTTTCCTTATGTTTAACTTTTAACAAGGCAGGTAAGGGGGTAATTTGTAACATTCCAAAAAAAGTGCAGATCGCTTTGGAGTCTGAGGTTAATACATCTTCAGAAAATAGTTTTCACTATCAGGTTTTGCTGTGGACAGCTTTTGGAAACCGACATAACGCAAAAGAATATACTCCACAGACTTCTATTTTGTGCGTGACAGTAAAACGGTGTCTGCTCCTGAAGGGTGAATTGCACAATATCTGGCACCTTGGTGACCACCTAATGAGTTAACTTTATTAATGACAAGACACCTTGGTATCATGATGCAATTTCCCCCAAAAACATGTGTCTCAGAGCCTGCAACCCCAAACAGGGCCACAAGCATCCTCCAATCCGGCACACAGTCCCAGAGCGCTGGTTGGGAAGTCCCATTACTTTCAAGTCTTTGGGATTGTTTGACACCTCACCAACTCCTCTTTTAACCTCCAAATAGCGACCTGTTTTGTGATGTTTTACCGGAGTTCCAGAACCTTTGGAAGTTGCTCCCGGTCAGGTGGGCCATGCCTCTGTGAGTTCCTTCCTGGTCTATGTTGTGTCTGCTGGTAAGGGTGCTGGGCCTGGATGCATGGGATGGAGGAAGTAAATGTTGGTGATTATAGTCTTTTTAGGGGGAGGTGGTGGATGGAGTCATGTACACATCCTTGGTGACTGAGCGGTCTGTTACACCCACATAATGATACAAAATTAGAGAGCCATTACTACTAAATAGCTGATAGGTCAAAATTAGGAGGGGCGTTACTTTTTTTAATTGCTTTTTCATTTGCTTAACTGATAATTCCCAAATTTGACATCTTTAAATAAGGCACTCATTTACATAAAGGGACACTCCCGGCACCAAGACCATTCCTGCCCATTGGAGTGGTCTGGGTGCCAACTCCTATCGCCCTTAACCCGGCAAGTATAATTATTGCAGAAAACAGAACCAGTGTCTTGTTCCATCACACCAGGAAAACTAACAATGCTGCAAAGGTCCAAGGTGATTTTAAAGGATCACTCCAAGCATTAAAGTGCACTATTGTGGTTATGGTGCTTGGAGTGTTACTTTTATACCCTAGGATACCTTAGGCCTGCGAAATGTTTGTGTACATTGACAAAAAAATCCCAGGCTTGCACAAGTATTTCTCTTATATTACTATTATTTTATTACTTATTTAGCGCCCTCAGATTCCATAGCGCTGTACAATGGGGATGGGGGGGATTACATGAAGTACAGTAAGGGTTAATTTTTTATTTTTTTTAACACAATAAGAGGTAAATTTAACAACAATGTTACGGGAACAATAGGTTGAAGATGACCCTGCTCAAAAGTAGCATTCAAAACTAGGCATATAAATAAATAAAAAAACAAACTTACTTACAGCTATATTTTAGTTAACCCTACTGGCTTGTGCATAAATCTCTCTGGTGACAATTTTACTTTAAAACATCAGGAAATCAAAGCAAATGGGGCAAGCAAGACATTCCGGACTCTTAAATATCCCTACATCACGTGACAGGCGTTCCATCAAATTTCGTACTCTGTCATGTGACCCTATAGTCATGTGACCTCCCTCTGTGTCATGTGACGTTCTCCAGTGTGCTAGTATTTTTGCTAGAGGGAAAGTCCGCGGTGTGGGTAGTAATGTCGGACGCACAGGGTTTAGACCGTGCCACCTCTCTAAGGCGCCTCCGAGGCTTCTTCCGCCGGTGCCTGAGGCGGGGGCAGTGGCAGCTTGCTCTGTCCTGTGTACCCCTATTATACCAGGCTCCTGAAGCCAGTAAGACGGAGGAGATCTTGAGAGCCCTGGTAACTGTTCCCCATTTATTAAGGTGAGGACACTTTTTGTCCTGTACATTTGTATGAAATTCCTCAGTACATTGGCTTTATTATGTGAATACACTGGATAATTATGTTTACATAATCTTGTTTCTAAAATGCATAGTTTATGCAAACACACATAACATCATGTTAAGTTTGAGATTTGGAGGAAATGTTTGTTTGGTATCTAATAATTTGGTATGCAATAGTAAATTATTTGCATTATGTAAGAATTTCATAATGTTTATGAATCACCCAATAAATTACCGTGTGTGTATCTATTTCAAGGGCACACTCCTTTGTTACCATACACACAGGCTGTCTCTGTGCATTAACCCCTTAAAGGTACACTCCACTGCCCAAATACAAAATATATTTTTAAAATACTGTTTAGTAGCTATACCCCATATTTAATTATGCATTTTTTTTCATTTGAGTTATATATTAAAAAAACAAAAACAAAAAACTGCTTGCAAAATCTGTCATTTTCTACCCTGCATACTTTGTGAACCATCCCATTCTAACCCTGCCCAGATTTTCTGTTGCTGTCCAATTACAGAATTCCCAATGCAGCTCTACGAGAAGTCTTTGCAAGGCAGGTGCTCTGGGAAATTACTGCCTCCTGAGTTTAGCTCCACTGAGCTAACCAAACCCGAAAGTAACATTACCCATTGTCTACTTTTTTTATATATATATATATATATATATATATATATATATATATATATAATCTCAACCATTTTAACTTATAAAACTGCCAATTTCTAATGAAATCTGCACTTTTTGCAAAATGATAAAATGAGGACACACTCTTCACACAATGCTTTTCAGCAAGCTAAATTGCTTTAGGGGTCTGGAGTGTCCCTCTAGGGACAAAGGCAATTTTGTAGAAAAAGTTCTGAATCTAAACAAACTAACATTTGTGTTGTATATTTGTTCAACCATAATTTAAGGGTTTCTCTTCAAGTGCCTCCATACACATTCATGGATGTGAAAGATATATTGCCTGACTGCCAGGATATGTAGTTCCAGGTGTCGGGTATGAATACGTTGGACACCCAGATCTGGGCTATCAGGGGATGTAACTTTTGTGGGGGTTTTATGTGTTTTGGAGGTATAAATTCTGTGACTGTGCTTTGATTAAACGGACTACTTCCCAGCATTAAGCCTTGGCTCGTGTGTGGGGGTGGGGGGAGATTGCTATACTGCTCTTTGGATTACTATACCTGCTATACTCTTTTGGAGGAGAGGTCTTTCCACTGGGAACTGGATCTAGGTGTTGGTCCAGGGTGGGAAGGGATGGTGAGACCCCAGCCAAGCTGCGGTGGATAAGGTTGCTACAGTGGTTATGGTGTCTGGTGCGGTGCTTATAGTACCCAGAGATACTAGGAAACGTGATTGGCAGAGGTACCCAGTCGGGGTGTCAGGTGGTCCGCCACATCTACTGTAACGGAGCTCCCTGTACCCCTGCTGGGTACCTCTGCCAAGGACAGCTTCCTAGCTGGAACAGGGGACAAACCTCAGCACTCCTGCCCCCAGTCACCGTGACTTGACTGGAGTCCTGGAACCACTCCCTCCTGGAGCCGAATGGGGGAACTCACTCTATCCACTCCCAGGCACTGGACAACACTCAGTCCTGGGAGCTTTAGTCCTTGCAAGGACTTTCCACGTTGAATCATCCACACTGGAACAAGCTGGAGTAGTGATTAGCCCTTTCCCCTCCCAGTAACCAGACGACACATAGTTCTGGGAGTACAAGCTGGAATGATTTAATTTGGTCAGATAGCCTGCTTTTATACATTTCTGAACACAGACAAGCACGCCCATGACACTCCCACTCAAAACAGGATAATCGCTCCCCTGTGCCTGGGAGATAATAGAGTTTGGAACTGTACAAAACTCAATTATCTCCAGGCACAAAAAACACACATTTCACAGACACCCCAAAAGTACCTTTTTAAACTACATGAAAACCTAACAAAAGTTATATCCCCTGATGGCCCCGATCTTGGTGACCAACATGTCCAAAAATCACCCAGATAGGTTCAGGGGTTTGGGATTTTCATGGAAGTCATGGTTTGACCGACCGCACATGAGGCTCCTGCCCAAAATAGTTCCTGGGAAAAAGTGGCATTGGTCGGTCAAGTTCAGTAGTTTAACCCCTTAAGGACCAAACTTCTGGAATAAAAGGGAATCATGACATGTCATGTGTCATTAAGGGGTTAAAAGAGAACAAACTACGGAACAGATTCCATTGCCATACCGTGGCGCTTCATCCAGACGAACGATCCCACCTGTTCGGTGGGATCGTTCGTCTGGATGAAGCGCCACGGTATGGCAATGGAATCTGTTCCGTTAAAACCGAACGCAGGCGATCATGGAAGTCCAGCGGTGTTTGGGAGCCGCTTTCAGTTCCATGAACTTGACGACCAAACACCGCTGCCTGCGTTCGTGCGAACAAGATGGCCGCCACTACTTGTTCGTGCATACGAACAGCGGCCACTCAGGCGAACCATTAGGACACTGCGGTTCCGATCGTTACAATGTATCCATTATCGTGACAAGCTCCCGGGTGGTCCATAGTTCGTGTGGCGGTTCGGTTCCCGAACAGCATAGGGGAATCATACCAACCAAGCCAGTTAAATAGTCTTTTACAGGTTTCCCTGCAGGGCCCATAGTCTGTGGGTAGGAGGCTGGTAAGCAGACTCCTCCAGGAGTTTGTGGCAAACTCAAGTGGGAAGGGGAGTTTGTCACAACGGATAGGCAGTATTTTCTTTTATTCTTTTAGCCCTGCCGTGTCGTGGCACTCTCTAGTGAGTCAGAGCGCATCTATGGGTCGTTTCCAGCTTGCATTCTGGCTCACTGAGTGCTAATCTGTAAGGGAGTTATTATTGAGGTCTGCAATCACTGGAGATGCAAAACCCCACGCTAGCCAGGAAATGAGTATGGTCCCCCATTGCACCACCAGGGACAATTGTACCATGCAGATGTCTCTTAGCTTATCTGGTGACTAGTCACATCATTACTGTGAATTTGACATCACATTTGCGTTTGTGTTCAGTAGAGATTGTAAATTTTACGTTCTGTTTCAATTTAACATCAATTTATAGGCATACATACATTTTATGTTTATTTTTGTTTTGTTTTGTTCATATAGATGTGATGAAAACCACACTCCTGAACAGTTATCCTGGTTCTGGCTTAGTGCTTTGAGTGAGTGGTTTCAATGGAGTAAGGTATGTATCCTAAAACCTTTTCTTTTTTTTTTTTTCTTTTTTTTAAATCTTTGT